AGTCATGATATAACAGGAAGGGGCCATCTCCAAACTGTTCCCACAAAGTTGGGAGCATGATATTGTTCAAAATGTCTTGGTAAGCTGACGCCTTAGGAGTTCCCTTCACTGAAATTAAGGCCAACCCCTGAAAAACAACCCCACACCATAATCCCCCCTCCCAGACATTGTCCATCAGATTGACAGACAAAGAAGCTTGATTCGTCACTCTAGAGAAAACATCTCCACTGCTCTATAGTCCAGTGGCGATGTGCTTTACACCACTGCATCAGACGCTTTGCATTGCACTTGGTGATGTAAGGCTTGGATGCAGCTGCTTGGCCATTGAAACCCATTCCATGAAGCTCTCTACACATTGTTGTGCTAATCTGAAGGCCACACAAAGTTTGGAGGTCTTTAGCTGTTGACTCTGTAGACAGTTGGCGACTTTTGCCCACTGTGTGCTTCAGTATGCGCTGACCCCACTTTGTCATTTTATGTGGCCTACCACTTCGTGGCTGAGTTGCTGTTGTTCCCAGTTGCTTCCACTTTTTTATAATACCAATAGAAACAGTTGACCGGGGAATATTTAGTAGCACGGATGGACTTATTGCACAGGTGGCAACCTATCACGGTACCACGCTTGAATTCACTGAGCTCCTGAGAGCGACCCATTCTTTCACAAATGTTTGTAGAAGCAGTCTGCATGCCTAGGTGCTTTATTTTATACACCTGTGGCCAAGAAGGTGATTGGACACCTGAATCCAATGATTTGGAGGGGGTGTCCCAATACGTTTGGCAATATAGTGTATATGGAAAAGGCCAGATCATCGTTCCATATATCTATTTTGTTCCAAATACGAGGGGCGTTCAAGTCAAACAAGGACTTTTGAGTTCATATATTAAAAGAACAAATTTCAAGGAATGTAAACTGCATTTATTTTTCAACATACTCCTCTGCTACATTTATACACTTATCCCAGTGTTTAACTAATGCCTGGAAAGCATAGAAAGATCTGTCAGCACACCTGAACCATTCTAGGACAGCCTGCTTTCCTTCGTCATGATTGTGTTCACTGTTCCCACAGAAAGATTTGTCTATTGTGCAATTTCACAATAGGTTTTGTGTCAATTATCCAGGATCAGGCGTTCCACATGCTGAATGTTCACAGGAATGACTGCTGTGGGCTGGGAAACCTCTACGGCCTAGATCGTCACTGACAGACATGTGGCCATCTTTCAAACATTTGTAGCATTCAAATGTCTTTCTGTGGCTGAGTGTCTCATCACTGTACTGTGCTTGAGGTTTTCTGTAGATATCCACAAGTTTTACTCCTTTGTTCACAAGAAACTTCATCACCACACGCTGTTCCATGCACGAACTAACACTGTTGTCTGCCATCTTGATTAACAGTCTCTGAACTGGCCCGTGACCTGTATGCCGCCTATCAGTAATAGGACACACTTGGACTTACTACAGTGCATAGTACCGCCACACTAGCATCCCTTTTTAAAAATACCAGTAAAATTAAAAGTTTGACTTGAACGCCCCTCGTATAATGCCCATTTATAAATGGTGAAAAACAGTGCTGGATGATGGCAATCCAGTTCAAGTGCTAGAACCTTAGAGAAATTCTTGGCATTACTAAATGGACTTTTTACAAGCAGCATCGCTAACGCTCAAATTAAAGCTCAAGGGCAAAAATTTAATTTTAACAGTGTATAGTGCACTCACCAGCCACTTTATTAGGTACACCTGTTCAATTGCTTAGTAGCACAAATTGCTAATCAACCAATCACATAGCAGCAACTCAATAAATTTAGGCATCTAGATGTGGTGAAGACAACTTTCTCAAACTGAGCATCAGAATGGGGAAGAAAGGGGATTTAAGTGACTTTGAATGTGGAATTGTTGTTCGTGCCAGATGGGCTGGTCTGAGTATTTCAAGAACTGCTGATCTACTGGGATTTTTATGCACAACCATCTCTAGAGTTTACAGAGAAAAGTCCAAAAAAGAGAATATATCCAGTGAGTGGCAGTTGTGTGGACCAAAATTCCTCGTTGAGGTCAGAGGAGAATGGGTGGACTGTTTGCTGCAACATTCAGATGATAGGGTCAGAATATGGCGTAAACAACATGAAAGCATGGGTCCATTCTGCCTTGCATCAACAGTTCAGGCTGGTGATGGTGATGTAATGATGTGGGGAATATTTTCTCGGCACTAGCAAGGTGTAACTAATAAAGTGGTTTGTGAAAGTAAAGTACTTACCTTTCTGTTGGGTGGATTCTGTCAACACTTCATACTGCCATATAACAAGATTAAGTCTTCAATTCTCACATCTTTCTTTTTCTGGAAATCTTGTTTCCTACCCTGGGGACTGAATCATTAACTTCTTGGGGACCAATACCCTTGCCACGCCCTGTAGATCCCAACCGCTATAACTTGCACCCCCACTAATGGGAAGTGTCCATGTCCTGGCCTGATGCAAACAAAAGAGGAAAGAAGGCTTGGGACCTGAACGTCATATGATCATGGCTTCAGGGCAGTTAAAATGGCATTTAGAAATATGTTTTTGTTTTTTTTTCATCCAGAGGTGTATGGGAGGAAGGAGAGTGAGGGTTTTTTTTGCCCAGAGTTGGGGTTTAATTCAAGATAACAATTGTAAATGGTTTGGAATAATGTTTTATAGGTATATACTGTATTTGGTAAAAGATTTAGGGGCTTACCAGGATTAAGGATTTGGTTTAATTGTCCTTTCGGTGTTTTAGCTTCTAGCAATGACTTGGGTTCCTTATATTTGTAATGTTGCAGTTAAAAACAAGAAATATTAAGTTTGTCTAAAAGTAGTTTGAAGTATTAAAGCAAACTGTGGAATCTTAATTTGTTTAAAAAATTAAGTAATAAAAAGCTTAAGATGTTAAACTGCTTACATGTTTATATCATAGTTACACACAATAATATAATGCATACCTTCTGACCTTTTCTTCAGGCTGAAGCCATAAATGAAGAGCCCATCTTTGATTCAGACAAAACGCTGTTTGACCTTAAAGATTCAAATCGGCCCAGGTTTACATTGCAAGAGCTACGAGATGTTTTACATGAGAGGAATGAGCTGAAAGCCAAGGTTTTCATGCTGCAAGAGGAACTTACTTACTATAAAAGGTAGTAATGAGACAGAGCCTAACGAATATTTCTAAATGTAGGCAGTGGCTCCAAAAGCCACTCTTTGGCTCTACTGGTAATACTGATTTGTTATTTTCTGGGTCTTGTCATGATAGTGGCGATCATTATTTGGCTGTAGTAAATATAATCTAGCATTCCCTTCCTGTAATAGAATTATTATAATGGTTATATCTTGACTGTAGTGATTTTTCTATCATTTATGGCAGTCATTCTCTAGTTTAGTGTGTTAAATAGTGGTCACTGCCTGACTGTAATGGTGCTTAGTCTTTGGCTGTAGTGGGGCTGGTCACTTTCTGGCTTTAGCCATGGTCATTCCCTGGCTGTTGTGATCAGACGTATTGTGCTGGACATTCTCTATCTCCTAGAGGTTTGTCCTGGCATTTTGTAGTCCTCAATCCCTCTGTAGCAGATATTGTACCTGTAACCAGTTTGATGAATACTTGTTAACGCAGTTTTGTAGTCTAACAGACAATAAAAGTAATGTAACATGCACTGTATAGTAGGCATCATAAAATACCTGCTCTTATCTTTGGCACAATCTTCCCAATCCATATCATACTTTACTTCTACATGAAACACATGTGCACATTGTGATTCTGCGCTTAGATAAAAATTATAAAATAGAAATGAGCAGCTAGCACAGGTATAAGATACTAAACTACAGTAAACATAATAAAGTGCAGCATTAAACACCATATTCAAAATAGTGACAGTCCACCATAATCAAATGAATGTCCACATCAAGAAATGTCCATGATAATGGATGTGCTTCACACAATAGAAGAAAAAGAGAAAAAGACCCACTTATCCAACAGGGCTGAAGAGAGAGTAACACTCTAGGTTAATTCTGGTGACCACAGGGCCTTACCAGTGGCCGCTCAGCGTGGTGACGTGACGTGACATCACCACGCTGAGCGGCTGTCTGCCAGAATTTGTTATGCATCGGGATCGCCGCAGCTCTGCAATGTTTTGACCCATTGTAAGTGCAATACTTTTCTACTAAAGTTATTTCTTTTGGAAGTTACTGCACTATTGGCTTTTATGTATTCTTTATGCCGTTACTGATGGAGAGTGAAGGTACAGTGGAGCCACAGCAGTGGAGTACCACCATATAGCATGGCTTTTCATTAAATTGAGAGCCCAACAGTTCCAGTAAGGGCTCTCTCACCTGTGGTCATCAGAAGTAACCTAGTGTTACTCTCTCTTCAACCCTGCTGGATAAGCAGGTCTTTTTCTTCTACTGTGTGAAGCACATCCTTTATCATGGATATTTATTGATGTGGACATTCATTTGATAATGGTGGACTGTCACTATTTTGAATATGGTGTTTAGTGTTGCACTTTATTACATGTGCACATTCTTTTCTGCTTCCCTCTATGCAGCAATCCATGGCACTGCTGCTAGTTTGCACACTAAGTGATCTCATATGGGGTGTTAGCGTCCAAGCCATATGCAAAAAACATGTTTCAGAAAATCTGTGTTTTCATAGTATTTTCAATGGCAGATTGGAGCAATGAGCAGTGCTTAGAAGATATGGGTATGCACCTTGTTGCATTTGCTATATAGTGCATTAGTCTGTTTTTGTAGGAATACAGAATTGTTTAGTTGAATAATGACACCTGTGTCTAGTTGCGATCATTTCCAGTGTCTAGTCAGTTACCTGGAGCTGTATATTATAATCGTGCATGTAGGATAGAAGCTGGCGTAGCACTAGAGAAAACCTAGTAAACCACTAAACACAAGGAATGAAATAATACAAATGTTGGTAAACGTGCAGTTATCCATGGAACTTTTGCCTATTCCACCAGCCTAACCGAAATGTTGACTTTTTTCCCAGCGAAGAAGCAGATGAGGACACCAAGCTTCCACAAACATCACCCATTATTAATTCCAAAGCACCCAATCCACAGGAATCTGGCATCAAAAGACTGTAAGTAATGCATTTCAGCTGGGTTTTGTATCAGTTCTATTTGAAAATATACTTACAGCAAATTTTTGTAGTTTTTTTTTGGCAACAATGTTTTAAAGAAGTAGCATATTATAGTTTTGCATAAAACTTTTAAAAAGAATCCTAAACAGGAATATTAGAGACTGCCATTAGTGACCTCTCCTTCTGAAAACATATTTTTCCTGCCTGTTGTGCTGCTCTAATGCCTTTTAGTACTTTCTAAATCAGGGACCTGGAACAAGTATGCAGATTAGGATCTCTGAATATTTTGATCTGCATGCTTGTCTCTGACTGTAATTTGGTTGCCTGCAACACTCAAGCAACTTAGCATTATTAGAAGAAGGCCAGCAATGTCAACCCCCATTAATGAATTCAGTATGGAGTTTAATAAAGTGATGCTGTCATTACAGAAAAAAAAGGTTTTTTGTTTTTTTTTTAATTTTTTGTTTTTTGTATTTTTTTTTTTTTAACCACTTCCCGACCGGCCGTTGCATATAAACGGCCAGACGGTGGCACTGCAGGGTCGGGTGGCCGTTTATAAACGGCCTCCCCGCACCCTGCTTGTGCGCGCTCCCTGGGAGCGTGCAGCACCGCGATCCAGTGCCATGTGGTGCCTTGTACCATGTGACAAGCTGTGACCAATCACAGCTCACTCAGTACTTCTCAATGAGTGCAAGAATGCACACAGAGAGAAAGAGAAATGATTGCTTTTACATCCTATATGGGTGTAAAAGCAATCAGTGAAAAAAAAAAAAAAAATCTTCATCACCCCCCACAAGTAGTACAGTGTCACCATGGTGACACTGTACTGCTAGGGTGACAGTATGTAAAAAATAAAATAAAAAATAATATAAAAAAATAAAAATGTAAAAAAAAGTTTAAAAATTATAATTTTTGGTTATAAACTAATCTGGATTTTTTTTTTTTACTAAAAAGATAACGGAATAAATTTTGGCTAAGATTTATGATGAAATATTATTTATTTGCAAAATTTTATAAAAAAAACACTTTTTTCGAAATTTTTGGACATTTCATTTACATAGCAAAAAAAATACAAATCCCAGTGGTGAATAAATACCACCAAAATAAAGCTTTATCTGTCTCAAAAAAAATGGTAAAAAGTTTATTTGGGTACAGTGTTGCATGACCGCGCAATTGTCATTCAAAGTGTAATAGCGCTAAAAGCTGAAAATTGCCCTGGACAGGAAGGGGGTATAAGTGTCCGGTCTGGAAGTGGTTAAGCAAACCATACCTGTAAAAGAAGACTAGACATGCCTGCCTTTCCTGCAACCTGTGCCTCTGAGCTCTGCTCTCATGGTGAGAGATCTGCTGCTGAAGTCCCCAATGAAACCTACACTCACTGAAGTGTCGATCTCCTGGGTCCTCTGCTGCTCTCACTGGTTCCTTCTGTTGACCTCCATGTCTCAACTGTATCCTGTAGTGGGTGAGAGGGTAGCATTCGTGAGAGCTGTGGAAGACCCCATAACTGAAACTCCCGGAAGTGTTGGTTTTAATAGAGGCAAGTAGGAGATCACTTCTTTTACAGATATGGCTTGCTTTAAAACTTTCCCTATAGTGACCGGGTCACATTAATTTGCATTGCTCAAAGATGACAAGCACATCAGACCTTTATGTGAATAACTCCTATGGATTATTTTTGTTATACAGTCTACTTAGCACTTTTCATTAAGATAATAGGCTCAAAAATGAGTGCCAGTTTTTTTCCTTGTGCTGTATGTACAGCAACGGATGGTACATTCAGATGAGCCTTAAAGAGTTTTGACCGCTTATTGCGCTTGACAAGTGCTTATTGCTTAGCCAATGCTTATGCTGCAGAATAAACTTGTGCTTTGGCTTTGTCAGTTACTGTGTGCAAAGTTCTATAGCAACCAAGGCAGAAGATTAAGGTTTGCTGAAGGTTACAAGAATTGTACTTTCCTCAGGCACACAATACCCAGCCATAATTTAGGAAGTCCCCGGTATATGTATGATATAGTGAGCAGGGCAACATACCATCACAATGTAATAGATAAGACAATGAATACTAAAAGTCCACATAAACTCTATAACTAATCCTCTGTACATGTCAAGATTCCCACTGAGTCAATAATATAAATGTATCATAGTAGTAATGTAACCATTCATCAGAATGACATATGAAACATTCAAGTGAAAGTCTCATTCAGTAGGAATGAAGAAGTTCCCTTCCGACCAAGAGTTCCGAGAAAACTGGAATCACCACTAGTGAGGAACCTTCACCTTCAGCCTCTCACCTGGTGGTTAGACCTACTGAACTCCTACGAAAGCCAAAACCTCACTTTTACTTTCTTAAATATTCAGGTCTGAGGTTTATCAACATTTTGGATTGATTGTTCAATAAATAATCTTCAAATACAACTTGCCTAATAATTGTGCACACAGTGTAAAGCCAGGCTTTAAGGAAGAGTAACAAGACATTACTTAAAAAAAAAAAAAAAACAAAGTGCAATCACATTGGACACAAACATAACTTTTTTTTGCAGCAAAACCAACTCTGATCACCACCTAACTTTGTGTCATTGTGGTAAAAAAGTTGTGTTCATATTTGAAAAATTCTCTTCACTGTCCCCAACCAACATGCCAGATACATTTTGACAAATACAAAGGGCACGAATTGAAGAATCCATCTATACCAGGTTGCTGTAATTAGAACCAGAGGTGGTTCTACGAAATACTGACTCATGGGTAAATACATGTGCAGTCAGCAAATTTCTCTGTTTTTGTTTTTTTGGTTTTTTTGCCGCAGTTGTGTAGATTAATCCATAAAGTCCCAAACAAATGCATTTTAATTCCTAGTTGTAACATTACAAAATGTAAATCAGTCACGGGAGGGTAAATACTAATTTAAACCACTGTAAGATACTGTAGGCAACTTTTTTTTTCAACATATTTCTGTACATAAAGTGGAACTTCACTCTTTCAATCAACATTGACTATTTTGAATCCTTATATTGCTAGCATTAGTAAATAGATAGGAAAATATATCATACTTTCAAAACTTTTTTTTTTTTTATTTTAATTTTTTCAGTTACTTCCTGCTGCTCGATTACAGGATAAATACTTATGCGCATTATGATTATCGTGTTCTCAATTTATTCTTACTTGCACTTTGAAAATCATTTACTCAGCCCTCGATCCCCTCATGTTTTGCATTGTATTGGTATTGTTCTGCACATGTTCTGTCCCCCTTTGTAATTGCACTATTGCTTTAAAATCTGTATTATAATAATTTACTCATCCAAAATAATTCCCACATGACTGTTCTTTTTTTTTTTTTTGTTATAAATCTTTGCATTTTGAGAATCGCTATTGTGTCCCAGTAACATTTAGAACGTTTGGGCGTTTGTAATGAAATTTCAAATGATTTTCTACTCCTCTATGGCCAGCCTTAGATAGCAAAGCTGTTGATTTTCAGCTTCAGTTTAGGGCAGTAAAATGAAGAATGACTTTCAAATACTTCCACATTATAGGTTAATGCATTATATCATTCTATAATATATCAGATAATACACGACCTGAAAAAGACATAAACTCTTTCCAATCTGCTTGTAAAATGTGTGCCTTAATTATCCTCTTTTACTGGAAGAAATAAAGGTTTCAGTCCTAAAGAATAATATTTTCATCTTTTTTAGCGATGGTTTCCACCCAGCATACAATTATTTGATTATTTTCACATCATGGCTTGTCTGTCTCCTCTCCATGATGGTATTTTCCAGGTAAAAGGCCTTCCTTTGCTGTCACGTGACCTCCATACATGTTGAAAGTTTTGCCGTCTATTGACTTTCATACTCATTGAGCATGTAGTGACACTGAAATGCATGAGTTTTATTTTGTGCAACCTGTATGATGTCATATGTTGTATCACCCTCACATAAGTTTTACACATTCATGTGTAAAACTGCTGTCCGTTTTTTTTTTTTTACTCATTGCATTTTCCTGCAACAGTTGAACAGTGGTAATCCTAATCACAAAAGGAATGCATCCACATTTTCAAAATATACTATTCTTTGCGAACTGGCCATTAAGTAAACCAAGGCATTGTGTGCCCTGTGTGTGATTTATCCTGTAAAAGTGGGGCTGATTTAGTAAAGAAATTTAGAATGCAAAGCAAGTGGACACTAGGATTCCCTCACTGACCGAGGACAGTTGGCACAAGTTCAGGATGACTTGCATGCACGCACCAAACTCCTCAAGCATTAAAGTCATTGAGATAAAGTCATCCAAATAAAGTTCTTTCATTAAATTCGCTACAACCCATTTAGATTAAAGCCATTGGTTTAGGCACTTTTGGCCAATGCTTCAAAAAAAGGCTTGGATTGTTTCTTAGATACACAGAATATAACTGGATACTAACATTTATAGGTAAAGTTGATCCAGGGAATATCCGATTGCCTCTTGGGGGATCAGGAAGAAATTTTTCCCCTGCAGGAGCAAATTGGATCATGCTTTGCTGTTTTTTTTTTTTTTTTTTTTTGCCTTCCTCTGGATCAACTGTGGGTATAGGATTATAACTTTTTTTTTTTTTCATAGTTGAACTGGATGGACATTTGTCTTTTTTCAGCTAGACTATCTATGTACAGCATTCAGCCACAGTGTAGTTCAGTCTGTAACAGGTTGCTGGCAGTGTGAAGGCACACATTTGACAGAATAACCCATTAAACAGACCTGTCCACCTTTCTGGAAGTGTGGAAAGTATGAACTGTTAATGACTTCCTGAAGATGAGAGTTGGGTATCACTGATCTATAGTAAAGTAAAAGCTGCTTGATTCTTTAGTGAACGATCACAAAGAAGCCTCTTAGGACTGGTTGATGTATTTGTTTGGGCCTTTGGATTTGTTGCATAGGATACATTCATTTCATTAATGAGTTGTGTTGAAATACAGAATGCAAAAACCAACAGATGACTTTTTTTTTTTTTTTTTTAAACAGGTTGAAACTGGGTCTGTAATAAGTGTTTAGCAAGTAAAAAGTATAGTTATAGGTGCTTTTTACATATGGATAAACAAGCTTCCTGTGTTTGTACTTTCCAGTTCTCCTGCATTTAAATTAGCCAAACTCTCTGCTTGCCAGATCAAGTTTTGCTGCACTTAAATGTACAGTACTTGCTTTTATGTACAATTACATAGAATTAGATGCATTTGGATTATCTAATCCATCCCTGAATGCATGGAATTCTATTTTCTCTAAAGGCAGCTAAGCTAAACGCACCTAAACACAGGTAAACACACAGTGAATTATACCATATAAAATCACTATATTACTATGAATTTAGAGAGGTCCTATAAACATATGTATGTCATTGTCAGTGTGAACGAGATCTTAAAAGCACACCAGTCAAAAGAACCCTTTAATACCTTACAGTAGATGTATACTTTAAGAGCAGGGGCATCTGTGATTGTCAAAAATTGAGGCTTTGCTGCAAAAAGATGTTGATACTCTGCTCTGGGGTGAGCAGCAGTTTAGTAATGCATTGGCTAGCACTAAGCAAGATAAGGCTTCTTTCTGCTTTGTAAACAGCTGGCTTTAAGTTTCATTTCACACCACTTCTTGCTTCCATTGATATAAGCCTCACATGTATCAGCCCCCAGAAACCTAAGATTACATTGACATTTCTGCAGGTTTTTTTTTTTTTTTTTTGTTTTTTTTTTTACCAGGGCAAATAAATACTTAATGTGTTTTTAGTAAGGTAAATGTAAAATATTGCATGTTAATACTTTTGCATTCTTATTTCAGCTTGCAGGTGTTGCTGTAGGTTTTTTCCACCTCCGTCTTTTTGCCATCTGTTAAATAGTCCTGTTTACAGAGCTCAAAAGCTCAAGCTGAAACTTGTGCTAAGGGAATTTAGTGAGAAGAGTAACTGATCCCTTTCAGATGGCTGTAACTATCTATAAACTGAAATTTAGTTCCCTTTAATGTTGACAGATATGAATCTACTTAAAAAAGAAAGAAGATGTTGGCTTAGAGGCAAACAAATTTTAGTTTCAGTTTTTTATGTCAGTTCATTAGGAGTAGGGTTGGAATTTAAATTGTAAGCTTCAGTTACTACTAGATATTGCAATTCCTTATAACCAAAAATGTGCAATATTTCAGATTACATTTTTTTACATGCTGACTTTCCTAGGCAGTTTCCTGTAACTAAAGCAGTTTGATATACAAGATTGCTTTTCTGTGTAATTACAACTGCCATTATGTTTTAGTTTTCATTGCTTTTAAATTTAATTGATGTCCAAGCCACCTCATCTTGCTGTTGTCATAACCTGTATGTTTGATGATTACAGCCTTTCATAAAAGATACCAAGCAACTGATAGGAGAAGTTTATTTAGTTTGTTTGGCATACAGATATATATATTATTATTTATTATTATTATACAGGATTTATATAGCGCCAACAGTTTGCTCAGAGCTTTACAATATAACAGGAGACAATACAGCAACAATACAGTTCAATACAAGAGGGTTAGGTATATTGCAATATAAGTATGCATACACACCTATATTTTTACATGTAAGTGGTTTGTAATGATTTCCATCCCATATGTTAACTGCTGTCCTGACTGTCTATGTCTCTCCATCAGGATGTTTACAGCCATTATGCCTATGGTAGCAGCTGGGTTGATTGCTGATGATCCCACTTTGCAGCCAATCAGCAGGCTTATCTCACTTGTAGGATTCATTTTCATTGCCTTTGTATTGCTGTGTGTCTTTTTTTTGCATGTTGTGGGTATGTGCTGTCTTGCTGGTGGCATTCTGATTGGCTGACTGTGGGATTGTTACATAAAAATGGTTTTGAGTTTGGCTGCCAATCAGAAAGCCATTCAGTATCCCTGGTCTCAATACATCATGTTCTCATAAAGATAACTGTATTACAGCGAAGTAGTAAGAGTAGTTGTCATTACATATTAACCATTCAGGAGCCTTAAGCAGGCACTGAGGTGCTGACTTACTAAAATACAAACTTAGGTGAATTAACCTTAATAAACTGGCCATGGACACGTCATGGTGGTTGAGATTGCAAACATGTCTAAATGAAGAACAGTTTCTTGCAGTCATTAAAAAGATGATATTGAAAAAGTGGTTATACTCCTGCCATAGCTAGGAGTTTGCAGATGCCTTATTTTAATTACTTCAGTCCCGAGGTTTTTTTTTTTTTTTTTTCAGACATGGTTTTAATTTTGGGTACATATAATATTATTATTAGTTTTATTCAGGATTTATAAAGCTCCAACAGTTTGCTCAGTGCTTTACAAAATTAAGGTAAACATTATAGTTACAATACAATTTGGTAGAAGAGGAAACAGAGGGCCCTGCTCATTAGAGCTTACAATCTAGGAGGAAGGGTTGAGTTATACAAAAGGTAATAGCTGTGGGGGATAAGCTGATGGAGGAAGTAAAAAACTGTTTATTTTTTTCCGGTACGTATATAGCACCGTCAATTTACGTAGTGCTTTACATAGATATGTAACATAAATCCCTAACCCTCAAGGGGCGTACAATCTAAGGTCCCTAACTTACATTCATGTATACACATACTAGGGCCAATTTAGACAGGATCCAATTAACTTACCAGCATGGAGTGTGGGAAGAAACTGGAGTACCCGGAGGAGGTACAGGGAGAACATGCAAACTCCAGGCAGGTGGTGCCGTGGCTGAAATTCGAACCAACGACCCTAGTACTGCCAGGCGGAAGTACTAACCATTTAGCCACTGTGCTGCTCATACTAGTTAGAAGCAGGATAGGCTTCTTTAAAGAGAACAGTTTTCAGGGATCATCTAAAGGTGGATAGATTAGGAGACAGTCAGACAGATTGGGGTATGGGGTTCCATAGGATGGGAGAAGCTTGGGAGAAGTCCTGGAGGCGAGCATGGGAGGAGGTGACATGGGAATTAGAGGGCAGAAGGTCCTGGGAGGATTGAAGAGAGCTGTTTGGTTGATATTTTGAGATCAGGTTGGTGATGTAGCTGGGGGCAGAGTTGTGGAGGGCTTTGTAAGTTGTTAGTATAGTTTTATTACTGAGGTCTAAGTAAGAAAACAAGGTGAAAATTTGAAAAAAATGTTTCATGTAGTCTCAAATATTTTCCCAAAAATAAAACTGTCAACTTCTCCTGCTTAAGAAGATATTGAATACATGTAATGTTTTTATATGTAGTGGAGTGATAAGGCCAGGTTCACACATATTTGGTGCAGCAATGCATGCTACTTTGTGCATTAACCTCAATATGCTTTGTGCTAAGGCAACTCCTTCATTTTGAATGCTCTGGCATTGACCCTTACACCATGTATTGTGGTGTGCTGTAGTAGGTGCCTTGACTTTAGTGTGTTGGGGTGTGATTGAAAATGAATGGCATCGCAGTGCATTAACACACCTAATGTGCATTATGCAGCACAGAGCTGTGAACCTGACTAAAGCTCAAAGTCGAGGTTGGGCTTTAAATCAGGTAAAGTTCTTACCCCTTTTCAGTGATCTCAGGCAGAAACTTTCGGCAGGGTGGATGGCAAAGATCTAGAAAAAAAAAAAATGTAGGTAAGTATAATATATACTGAAAGTGCCAAGGGAAAGATAAGGGGAATAAAAGTGTGAACACACTAAAAGTCCTTTGAACAAGCCTAGAACATGCCTTAAATTTCAACCCTTAAAAAAATACATTAAAAACCCTTTTTAATAAAACAACCAGGAATTAAAAATTTTTATCTTCCTCTTGTGCAGCTCTGAATGTAATGACAAATTTCAGGTATGATTTCATAAGCATAAAATCTGTAAAGAAATAAAAGTTGTAGTGCTCTGTTGAGGGGAGATAATGCTGAATATAAAATGTGTAGTACGTGGGTAGAATAAATAGTCCAGCTAGCACATTACTTTCCTTTCAATATAGGTGTGTGGTGCAAAAAAAAGTGTTCCACTGACTTTGGGAGTTTGAAGCTGCTGAAGTGTAATATTAAAGCGGAACTAAACCCTCTTATTGTTTTCAGCCAAGGAAGCTGCCATCTTAGCCTCTGTTTGATCTGCAACTGCCATTATACTGCACATGTGATCAGTTATGACGCCAACTATTTGATGGTTTGACAGTTTGGTTGAGAGCGCAAGTAACTGCGACAGTTACATTCTCAGCCAGTAATGTAATTGTTAAATTTGTTCTGGTTTAATGAATAGGGGTTTAAAATTTAAAAAACTGTGAGGAGAGCAGAGTAGAACTGAGAGTTTTCAGTATGATATCCCCTCTCCGTTTCTGAGTAGTAATATGAAGCTCATTAATCTGATTTTCTCAGTGCTCAATGGATTTTCAGGTACACATATCGAAATTTTCTGTGCACATTTCATAATATTAGTTCTCTTCTGTGCACAGTGCATGTGATGTAGTGTGTCACTTTAACTGCATGCTCTGAAACACACAAGCCTAACACAATGTGTAAAGCTGGAGAAAAGAATATACAACATGAAGTGGTTGCTCAAAGCATGACTTTTGTTACACATTCGTGAATTGAAAGGTGAAACTTTACTTGCTATTGCCTAATACGTTGCTTTAGACAACAACTTGACTTTTGTGCTAAAAAATGTCATCTTTTTTTCCAAGTTTTGAAGAGTAAAACGTCAAGATTGGGGAACATTATTTTTTTTATCCGTAAGAGTCAAATCTACTGTGTAATAAGCACAGCATCTTTTTATTCAAATGCACCTTCAGTTCTAAATACCCCAATGGGGATAAATAGTTATATTAATTAATACAGTGTCGCCAATAGACAAGAGTGTACCATGTTGCAGCTGGCATTTGGATATTATTACAGCTGTAATGCACACTTGAATCACAGCACCCTTTCCACATTTAGATTTTCTCTATTTAAAAAAGTGAAGAATTATGCATCCTTATGGCCAGTCAATATCACTGCAATGCTGTCTTGAGTGCCTGTTGCTCTAGCTAGCACATTGGTGTGTAACAAGGCAAGTAGGACTGTAAATAGGGTGCTTTGCCTACTGGTGACTTGGTGACCCAAAAATCCCATCGGCATTGTACCCACAGTCCAACCATTTGCTGCCCAATTGTAAAGGATATGGACAATTTTAGCACCTTGTAAATTGCTCCATGATCAAAAAAAGTGCTTACATTCACTTAGCATGAAATACACAGGTTCTAAAAGTTTTACACTTGGTTTTAGGTTTATGCCATGTGAGTGGTGAAGTGGCTTTTGTACCAGATAGGGTATAAGCACCTGATCAGAGGCTGCCATGAGCTATCTGGAAGAACCAAGAGCCACTTGTGGCCCACAGATTTATATAATTGTGATTGGTGCACAGTAGCCTTATGCTCTAGACAAAGCCCCATATCCAAATCAGACTGTTCAGTAAAAGGTAACCTCTGTTGCATGTCAAGCCCAAAGCTTTTCTCATTCAATCACAGGTTGAATGGAAAAAACTCTCAGATCCCCAAATCCACACAAGCGATATGGATGCAGGAATCTCCCGCACTAGGCTATTGTATTCTAATAGGGCCCCCCCATCAGAATACACAGATCAGCACTGCAGCCTTTCGTTGCCTGCACTGATCGAATGCTGGTTTTCCATCAGGAGCTTTTGGCTGACTTCTGTTGAACAGTGAGGGGTACACACATACCAAAATTCATCCAGTTCTTGCTGAGTCAGCCCAAGTTTGGTACATGTATACCCTGCTTAAGATGGAAGTTGTCACTCTGACTTGTAAGTATAGTCAAAACTTCTATGCATTCATGTTGTGTGTCAGTGGCCCATAAACTAGTATAAAAGCCAGGAAGCTAGCATTTCCAAAAGGCAAAGTCTGCAACAGCAGCCCACATGTTTATGTTGTGCGTTTTAGAATGACAACTGCATGTAACTATTGTCTGCAGACAGGGCTCCTGTTAGAAACCACAAGGCCCCATACAGCCAAACTGACAGGGCCCCCCCTCCAAAAACTCCCCACAGTTTATTATGCTACAGTTATGAATGAACATAGTGAATGATCGGTACCAATCACTCATTGTGTTCATTCAGGAAAGGAAGGGGCTGGTAAATGTGACATATTTATAGGGCCCTTCCCCTACTCTCCATCCTGAAGGATCCTATTGTGTGCTTGCAGCTGCTGCTGGAGAGGAGGGAATCTGGCAGCATGGAGGGCACAGAGGGGCCTGGGCAGCAGGGGGAAACGTATAATGCACAGGGAGGGCGATAGGTGCACCGGGGGGGAAATTACTGGAACTCATCCCCTGCATGGCTCCCACTGCAGCAGCTGAAAGCCAGCGAGTGGGAGAGGAGAAGCCAGCTTTCAGCTGCTGCAGAGAGAGCCATACAGGGTATTGCTTCCAGTGGTCCCCCCGCCATGCTGATTACCCTCCCTGTCCAGATCCAGTTCACCCAGCTGCCTGGGCCCTGTACAAGAGGACTGATGGTACCCCCTTATCTATGGCCCTGTCTGCAGACAGGAAACACTTTCAGTAAGGAATAGAATCTATTAATGCTAAAAGGCTGCATGTTCAAGTTTGGTGCATAATAAAAGAAATATCCAATGGGCATTGTTACACCAAGATATGAAAGTGTTGCCGGGCGTGAGTTCTCTACATAGCCCAATACAGTGATGCAGTTAGCCATAAAAAGCTGAGTACATGTAATAAGAATAAATTACCTAAGTCTATTTTTACAAATGTCTTATTAACAATGTTTGATGCTTGGATCACCATAAAGGAAAAAAAGTCAAAGTGCAATATTTCATAGGGACCGGTCTTCATTCCTCATCCATTGCTGAGCTCTCTAACCTAATTTATGGAATTTTTGATTGCTATGTGTTTTGCACTACTCTAATAAATAAGGACAATGTTGTGCTTTTTTTGGATGATGTTGAGTCTTGTTATTGAAACAAGTATACATTTGTTTTCTCTCCCTAGATTTAGTTTCTTCTCAAGGGATAAAAAGCGGATGCCCCTACCACAGAAAAGCGCCACCTTCCAAGAATCCTTTGGTGTTTGGTCAGATTACAACAGAGATGATGGTTACACAGAACAAGGCCAAGAGGCCTTACAGCACATGTGACTGAACCGAAGTCTCAATATTGCACACTGAATAGCTGATAAACTTTTTTTTTTTTTTTTGCTCGCCCTGCCTGAAAACATTTTACTTTGTGAACATCGCACAAGACATACTGCACGAGCTAAAGAACACAACAAAGACGAGTCATTTGCAGGCGGGTAGCAAGAGAAGAAAAGTGGAAAAATGGACTGCTATTCTTCTGGGAGTTTCAAAAGCTGGCTAACCCAGCAGTGATATTCGATTTTGTTATTGGACTATGGGGGGTTTCAATAACCACTGGATTCTCATGGGACTTCAGTTCTGTCCCCCTTTTGCAGGTCATTATGAATCCATTGATGCTGCATTCTCTGTAGTCTAATACTAAGGATTAAAATGGAAAATCCAACAGTGACCTCGAAACCCCTCCAAGGATATCTGTCTAAAACCAGAATAAAGAAGATGGGTAGAGCCTGGCTTCCAGAGAGTACATGGCTTATATCACAGTGATTTCACTGGTTGTGTCAAGAATCTATATTCTTACCAATGGCCATACCTGATTTCTTGGTACACTGCCTGCACCACAAAATACCTGCCTGTTTGTATGTAGTTCAGTTCTCTGATTGTACAATTTGAATAGATTTGCCAAATAAGAAGGTGCCTTAGAGGTCCTGCAGAGCTGTTAAAGTGGTTCTAAAGGCTTTTTACCTTCATGCATTCTCTGCATGAAGGTAAAAAATCTTCTGAGTGCAGGTCCCCCTACCTCCCCCCCCCATACTTACCTGAGCTCGATCTCGATCCAGGTTGTGCACAAGAGCAGCTGCTTTCTTTTCTCTCTCCCTTCTCATAGGCTCAGAGACAGTAGCAGAGGTCCTTGGCTCTGCTGCTGTCAGTCACAGCCAGTAAGGAGGGGGTGGCACCAAGCCATGCTCTGTGTGTCAATGGACACAGAGTGCAGTTCTGGAGCGAGCCCGCAAGAGTGCCCCCATAGGGGCTTGCTATGGTGGTCACTCAGCAAGGGGGAGGAGCCAAGAGTGCCAGCAGGGGACCCCATAAGATGAGGATTGCGGCTGCTCTGTGCAAAACCATACATAAGATATTATTAAAAAAAAAAAAATGAGTTTACAATCACTTTAATATACTACTATGCATTACCTTAAAAAAAATCAAGAAAATCTAGTACAAGTTGTTCATATTTATGAATATTAACATCTCAGATTGGTCTATGCAGTAAACCCCTCTTACCACTGAGCATAGCTTTCTACCTAAAATGTAGTCAAGTCTGTAATGAAAATTAGTTTGCAATAAAATCATTTAAATAAGAATGTCCCATCATGCAAAACATTGTGAAAGGCACCATAGCTTTTACAGTGCATTGCAATGGTCTAGTTCTGCTTGACAGAAACCTAAAACATTGATCCCAATGTATGGAAAGCTGTTAGCAGAGTGGGGGCTTCTGTGGTAAAGGCAGTGTGCAACACGGTAGCTCACATTTCTTCAGTTTTACATGGCTGACCTAATCCTATTTACAGGCTGAAACCTATAAAGACACGTTGGTTCTGAAAATGTTATACATTAGTATTCAAATGAATTAGTTATACATTACAATACAGTGGTCTCTGTTGTAGGAAACAAACACAAGGCAGCTTAAAACTAATAATGGAGGTGATTTTCTAAAGGCAAATAGACTGTTCACTTTGCAAGTGCAGTTGCATTCTGCAAGGGAATTTGCTCCAGAGTTTAGTAAATGCGGCGAAGCTTTGCAAACCGTACCCAATCACATGCAATAAAAAACAAAAACGCATTTTTGCCTCCACATGATTGGATGATGGAATTCAGCAGAGCTTCCCCTCATTTGCCAAGCTCTGAAGCAGATTTCCTTGCAGAGTGCAACTGCACTTGCAAAGTGAACAGTCCTTTTTTTCCTTTAGTAAATCAATCCTAGTGTCTAGCGTTTCAAACTTGGCATTACTGATGAAACAATTAGGTTTTTTTTTTATATATGAAGGGTGTTTCTGTTCCTACATTGATCCTATACTTATGGGAGATATTTTGCACTTGCCTTCCTGTTACAGCAGTGACACCAACCACAGACAATTTCTCACTGCTCCTGATCAGTCTAAAAAAAGGGCAAGTAGAAATTTTTGATTGAGTCAATACTGCTAATTGCACTCAATTGCTCATTTAAATGAGCCCCATAGACCCAGGCCCCATACCATACCAAAGTTTCCTGGTGAATTTGTTTGTTTATACACGAAAGGACGTATGCTTTATCTTTGAAGAAATGTTTTTCCAGTCGTGTGTTTTCAGAGACCCGTGGCAGAGTGTAGTATACCCGTTGCTGACCGAAAAGGGAATGAGAGCAGCCATCTTGTTCACTGTGCCTAATGTAGATATGCAAGGTAAAGGACACCTTGGGATGTAAGGTAGGAGATTAACAGTATTAACACAATATTGTTTGAATATTAACAAATAATAAAATGACAAAGCTTTTTGGGTTGTGGAATTTTTGATGTCTGGTTTTCTCTTCGATGTACATAACACAACCACTGTATTGTATGGTGCTATAGTGCATTGGGATATTCCCCCAAAAAAAAACCAGCGTGTATTGAGGGATTGTTGTTGGTTGCCTTTGCTGACCTCTTTCCCTGAAAATGCTAACTGACTGTTAGTCCTCATGCACACGGGACGTTTTTTACAGCGGCTGTTTTTGGCTTTCAACGTTTTTTTTTTTCTACAGCCAGTAAACTCCCCAGCATGTTATCCTATGTGCCCATGCACACATAGACTGTAATCAAGGTTTCTTGGCAGGGACGCTTTTGGCTGGAAAAAATACCCAGGACTAGTGGGTTTCTAGAAGTGTTTTTTAGCTGTAAAAACACTCTAACGCTGAAAAAACACAGCAACACACAATAAAATGCCGCAAAACCAGCGTTTTTGGATGTTTTTTAGACCAAAAAAAACACTAAAAAATGCTAAAACCACAAACGCAAAAAAACGCAGGAAAATGCTGCTAATCGTGGCAAAATGCCGCTAAACGCTAATGCAACAATGCTAACAAAAGCTGAAAAACTCACATTTTTAACGTGACTTTACACAGCTAACATTACCAGCGTTATCAAAATGCCCAGCGTGCATGAGGACTTCCATGCACACTAGGTTTTTTTTTTTTTTTTTTCTTAAGCTCAAAAAAATGCTGGATAAAAAAAAAAAAAATGCTGGTAATAGCATTTTTCAGTAGTGTTTAGGAGCGTTAGCTTTTTTTACAGTACATGTAGAAGAGATCTGTTAGGAGCATTTTAGTAGCGTGTATGATTTTTTCTGCTAGAAAAACATCCAAAAAACTCTACAAAAAAAAAAAAAAATAATAATAATGTTCTGCTCCTAGACGCTGAAGCTAAAACACTAATAGCCTGAAGTAGTGTGCATGGACACATAGAATAGCCTATTTAGCTTCTAGGAGCAGAAAAAAGAAATGCTGCTAACGGCTTCTAGATTAAAAAACTGCTAGTGTGCATGGAGCCTTATGCTGATGTTTTGAAATCAGGTCTTTGAGTCACTGACTTGAAGCAAGTAAAAATTTTAGGAATTCAGACTAGTTTGCAGCATGCTTGCTAAGGCTGATGCACATATGGTTTTTATATAGGCTCTTGATGGCAGTCCGTGCTGCCTTTGAACTTGTATGGACACACACCCCGTATATGTCTGCATGAGCTGAGATGCACCCCGCTGCTCAGGGCCATAAAGTAAATAATAGCGTGTAGTCAGTGATTGAAGGTCAAGGTCATTTTGCGCATGTGCTACTGCTGCATGAATGATTCCTTCATAAGGCGGCAACTATTGGTGCTTTACATCGATGATGTAAAATCAGTGGGTGTCCCCCACTGATTACACAGTATGCCTTTCAGTCATTTTGCGTATGTGCTGCCTCAGGACTCATTCAGAGCCAACATGTAATCATCAATAGCATCTAATCAGCACCGCAGCAGCTGCTGGCTTCACATTTTTGATGTTGACATGTTGGCCCTGTGCAGCAATAGAGTCTATATACGCATGTAAACATTAGCACAAATGTTTATATGCATCAAAATACAGTCCATATGTAGGACTGTGGATGTAGATTTTTTTTAATCTTTTAAAATTGTAGCTAGCTAAACGCAAGTTCAAATTGCTGAACTGTTTAAATGAGCCCATAACATATACAGTTGCATTCAGATCCGTTTAAAAAAAACAAACAAACAAACAAATACACATTACGGATCTGAACATATATTTTTGCACCTATCTGCATGAGCCCTGATGGGTCAGTGATTTAAAAAATTGAAGTCAGACTGCAAGGCAACTTGTATTTTCCAGTGGCGGTCAGCATTGGCAGGCCTCAATTCTCTTGTGACAAGTGCACTTTTATGGTTTAGGTTGCGTTTTGTGCATTTGAAGTCAGAGAACTAGCAAAAGAATGTTGGCAGCAAATCAACCAGTTATGTTCTTCTACTATACTGCAGCATTTCTGAATACTTTGACATGGAGTGACGTTACCTTTATTTATATATGGCTTATTTAAGTAGAAAGCATCAGAATTATTGCCTAGTATATGCTGTCACAGATTGCACATCCAACATGAATTCAATTTTAAACTGAATTAGTACATGAAAAGCCATAACTCATTAACCACTGGTCTTCCCATGAATTTGTAAACAAGCGTGTTATAAGAATATGATTACTTTGGTTATAACTTGTAATGTGAAATAAAACTATTTTATGACTGACTGTTGAAATATGTTGCATTTGCAAAAAATGATGAATGCTGTTTTTTGTATATTTTTTTTCCTTCATGTTCAAGATAAAAAAAAAACAAAACAAAACACCTTTTTAAATTAATTTGTTCACAAAGCCTGGATGAAATATTCCTGTTAATATGGTAAATAATGGAAATTCCAATGCTACCCTCTTCTTAAAGGATAAGTTCACCTTTAGTAACATGTTATACACATATTCCGGGTGTGACATGTAACTAAAGCACCCTGACCTGATCCGCCCCATTGTGAAAGCAAGCAGGGGCTCCACCCACACATCCGCATCATTCATTCACAGAATTCTGTGAATAAATGAACTTCAGTTCTTGTCTGCCACAGCAGCAGGTGGCTTGTAGTTCTGTATGAGAGGTATGGGCAGACAGCTGTACTGACAGTCTGCAGGAGCCTGACATTGCATCTGTGATCCGTAGGATCCAAAGAAAAAAAAACAAACGGAGGCACATTTTTTTTTTTTTGCAAGAAATGTGCATTTTTTGTTTGTTTTTTTTCTTTTTTAACTGAACTAATCCTTTGTTGGATTGTAAACTCTTTTGGAAATGAGGTTTCCACAATACAAATAATTTATTTTCAGGTGAATAAGATATGGCATAGGGCTACTTCATATTGGTATTCAGCCTGCAACTGGCATTCAAAGCCCTTTTAAGCATGTACGCTTGTCTATTCTTAGCCGTTTTGTTGTTTACAGGATTTGAAAGGTAAAGCTTTTATTTACACAAAGAACTGCATGAATCAAAATAATTGACTCCTACCTTTCCATCTCCTCCTCTTTCCCTTTTAGTTTCAGAATGTCTGAAGTTTAGATGTTCATGATGCTTGAATCTTCTCTATCAATTAAATTATTTACCATGGTAAAAAAAATAACATTGATAGCCTCCCCCCCCCCCCCCCCCCCCCCCCTCTCCACTGCCATATTTGAAACTTTTTGATGGGGGAGGGGGGAGCTGGTTTTGACAGTTCTTATTTCGGCCCCTCCTCCCTTCCGTAGTCTCCTGGGAGCTTTCACAGGTCCCAGAAGACCGGACCAATTAGGAGGTGCAGCACGACTCGCGTATGCGCAATGGGCACCAGGCTGTGAAGCCGCAAGCTGTCACAGCCTGGTGCCCACAGTTGAGATGCCAGCACTGTGGCGGGGAGAAGGCACCACGTGGGTGAGAACATTGCTGGACCCCGGGATAGGCAAGTGTGTGTTTATGAAAAGTCAGCAGCTACAGTTTTTGTAGCTGCTGACTTTAATAAAGCACTAAAACGGCTGGAATTCCACTTTAAATACAGTTAGGACTCCTTAACACTTGTTTTGGTCTTAAAAGAGCGGAACAATTGCCTCCTCGCTGTTAACTCCTTGAACCCTGCTACAACTGTGCACATTGCATATGGCACTTGCAGTAGAGTAGTCCCATTCACACGATGGCGACATGGGGTATAATTCCTGCTGCAGCTGTGAAGCAAAGCATCACGGCAATGTATGTTTACACCCCCAGCTGCTGCTCATGCAGCTAAAGAGGGATTGGTTGGAGGGTGGTAAAAGCACAGCTCAACAACAGGGTTTTACTGCCTATTAAACAATGCTGTGAATGAATCCTTAGTAATTTACTCCAATGACCAGAGTTGTCATCTTCGGAACTGTATTGTAAGCTGGTCTTGTGCTTATCCACTGAGCACTCTATTTGGTTACACAATTTTCAGCATTTAAATTTAGTTGCATGGCTTCCCTGCACCTGCATTTTTTTTGAAGCAAAAAGCCATAACAATTCAGTTGTTTGCCAATTATAGAAAATCGAAAAAGAATGTGAACACCATTTTAGCAGTTGCTAGCTGTTTTCTTTCACAAAGCCAGTGTGACTGGGTCACAGGTTAGTATAAACGAGCTAAACAGCCTTCATAACAGTAAAAGAGAGGCGTTCCCTGCCATGCACTAAACCTTACATTAGATATGCTGTTTTAGCCAACTGAAATTACTACCCACATTTTGTTTGTTGCTTCATTTTCAAGGAACTACAGTAATTTTATACAGAAAAAAACACAGGAAAGCTTATTTGTGCTTCTGAAGATGGTAGTTGCCAGCCTGTCATGCTGATTTAGTGGCTTCAATACTTCCTGAGGCACATACCTATGTCAAGTATACAAAGCAAGACTTCTGACTTTATTTTCAGGCAAGTTCCAGCTTCATGATGTAGAAAGCATTGAATGCAGAGGCAGGCAAGCAACTAGGACTCTTGGGCTGCATTCAAAATTGAGCGATTTGTAGCTTGAATCTCCAAAAATGCTCAAATTTAAAAAATGAATTGTTCTCTATGGTGCCTGTTCATGCAATCAGGTGGCAACAGGCACTGTAGAGAACAATTTTTTTCTTTTTTTTTTAAAGTTTGAGCAATTTTGGAGTTTCGAGCTACAAATCATTCAAGTGTGAATGCAGCCTTAGAAGAAGTTCAGCAATGGCAGCCCCTGTATTTATCTCAGTACATGTATCTATTAAAACTAATCTATCTCAACAGCCTATGATGACAGAATCCGCAATTCCCTAAAGTAAAACTAAAGGAATTTTTTTTTTGGTTCGAGTGGAGGGGGATTAGAACACCTGTCAGTATTTATTGCTGTCTGTGCCCCCGTTTGTAAGATTCATCCTCTCTATTTGTCCTGTTTACCATTATCATTGAAAGTAAAAGAAAATCCCACATTTTGGGTTGTCCTCAAAGTAATAACGGGGAAATCTTCCAATGGGGACACTAGTTCTGGTGACCTACATGGGGTTCCCCCCCAAAAAACCCTTAATTTGCAGAGATTTCCTATCACATTGCAGAGATTTCCTAGCACAGGAAGTGAAGGGATATATCTGCAATGGGACACAGACGGTGAAAAAAAAAAAAAAAAAAAAAAATAACAGGGGTTATAACCCTCCCTTACTCTATCCAAAATGGGGAAAACAAAGTTTTGCCTATAGATCTACTTTAAGTTGGAGCATATGACAGATCCAAGGCTGTGAAGGCAAACCAATAATTTAATTCACCACCCTGACATTAGCATGCTGTCTGTATAACGGCAGCTTATGTTTTGAGCCAGGCTTTTAACTTCAAATTTACAGATTAGCTTTAAATTGGTGAAACTGCCACTTATAAGTGAGCATGACTTTGCTTGATGTTTAGAATTTCATTATAAATATGAATGAAATGTGAGACGAGTAAAGTGCTGTATAAATTGACAGACCATAAAATAAATACACTTTGCAGGCCTTGCTTAAGCTGCATGTAATGTGCAAATCATTATGTAAAACACAGGGCACAACATTTCTCAATAGATTGTTAATGCTCAGTTGGAAAGCACTAGAACCACTGATCACTTGGAAGACTTGTTTCCTATACAGTAGAAGTTATATACAGGACATCCAGTACAAATGTCCCTGAGCACTATTCCTTGAAGTCTTTTTCTCTACTTTTGTCCCTTCTTCGTCTGTGTTTTTCACCTCTGTCATGATCTCTGCTTCGCTCCTCTTTGTAACGTCTCTCTTCAGTCTGTTCTTTGTTGTGTCGATTATGTGATCTATCATGCCGCCTGCCTTCCACTCCTCTGTCCCGAAAAAAATCTGTTTTCTTCACTCTCCATTCTTGATGTCTTTCTCTAGACCGAGATCTGTGCCTTTTATCAACATGTCCTTCAGTGCAAGCATTAATTGGGTAGAGTGGCAAATTAATTGGTTTCCTGAAAGGTCTGTCACGTCCTCCAAATCTCAATTGTCCAGATTCTTTTTTACCACCAAACCCACCACCTAGGCGACGTGGAATCCATCCTTTCAGCACCCTCTCCAGTTCATAATCTACAAAAATTTCACGCTGATCAATTACCAGTTTGTTAGCATCTCTGTAGGCTTTTTTGATAGCACTCTCTTGCTTATATTCAATAAAAGCGTAGCCTTTTGAAAACCCAGTAATAATGTCTCTAACCAATCGGATCCTCTGTATATCTCCATAACGAGAAAAAAATTCTTTTAGCTTTTCCTCTGTTGTTTGTTGGCTTAACCTAGCCACAAATAATGTTAACTGGGGATCTCCGACAACACTTTTATTGGTCGCATAACGAGCCAACATGGCCCTAAGGATAGCGCGATCATGTGGCTCCTCATCTGTACCATCAATACTGCCAGCCTTAAGAGGGTCATAATCTTTTGCGATAGGAGTCCAATCATTCATTTTCTACAGGAAGAAGACAAAGTATGAGAAAGAGACTACAATAAACACTAAGGCACAAAAATATAATTGCTAGCACTTTAAAGCGACATGCTTTGCCAATTCAAGCTATTAAAATCCAACTCTGGATTTTGTCCCCAATCACCACCCCTGGAACCCCTTTTGTGTATGCTAAGTTTCTTCTCTTGTAGAGTGCACTCACACTGGCAGTTGTAACTGGTCCCAGGCATGGTTCACCTCCTTGGTCCAGTTCACTTGTGTAGTGTGAGTGCTCCAAACTGTGTCTGGGAACAGGTAAAGAGGTTTTAAACTTCAGACAGAGAAAATGAACAAAGCACATCCCACTATAAATGTGAACTAGCCTGAATCAAAAGCACTGAGTCTGGTTCCTCTTTGATTTCTCCTCTCTTTGCCATCTGCACGACTGACTCTAAATAAATTAAGCAGCCTCCCGGGAGATGGCCCTGCACCCCTCCAGCACACAGCAGCTCACACCCTCAGCTCTATGTTTCTCATTTCTCCTCTATTACTTTTCTGGGCCAACTCAAATGTTTTGGTTCTGATCTCACATCAGTGTGGCATGAAGTACAACACCTACCGGTCTTCTTTGCATGGAAGATACTCCCAAGAGGATAACTATTTATAAGCCATAAAATAAACTGTGGCAAGACTTGCCATACAGCGGAGATTTGCAATCTTGATGGACATCCATTGGTATTGTATCTACCGATCAGACTACTTGCTGAATCAGCGTATAAAAAACCAAGACAGTCATTCATTTTCATGTGCAACATATGAGGCTTTATACAGAGGGGAGAATGGGCATGAATAGGTTGGGATGTTTAGATATGGCTAAACACTGCATCTGGACGTAGCAGCACTCTGTCCTATGGCTGCACACAAATTGGACGAACCCCATTCCTAGACACAAACTAAGTGCAGGGTCGGTCACAGCCTCTAATCATATGTGACCTGACAAACGAGTGGTCCCTCTTACCCATACAGGCTAGAGAATCTGGCCACGCTGCTGCTGTAGTTGTTCACACACACACTGGGAAGATCTACTAAAACTGGAGAGTGCAAAGTGTGGTGCATCTGTGCATAGAAACCAATCAGCTAACAGGTTGTATTATCAAACCTTAAGTGAACAAGCTGAAGTTAGAAGCTGATTGCTTACTGTGCACAGATGCACCATATTCTGTGTGCGCCAGTTTTAGTAAATCTACCCCTCTGTGTACATGGGGATAGTTTCTCCACCAGAAAAAAAAAAATGCTGATTTTTGCTAGCAGCCACCTCAGTGAATGGGTCCTTATGAGCAGTGATGTTTGTGACCAATACAACATCAAAATCAAGTACTATGTGTTAGGGGTGCACCAAAATTTTGGTGGCCGAAAATAAGCACCAATACAGGTGCCAAAAATAACCCCACTCTCTCTCTGCTCGGTAGTTCTCAGCCTTACCTGAGAAGCCACCGAAAGCTCCCGGGGCGGGGCATAGAGAAGTGAAGGAAAGAAGGCCTCCACTCATCTCTATTCCCTTGGAGAGACGGAGCTCTGTCACCAGCGCCTCGCAAACACAGCCATTTTTTTTGTTTGTTTAAAGCACTAGTTCAATGCTTGTTACATTGTAGAGAGATGTGGTATCTTATTGACCCCATATCTCTCCATAAAGAGGACCTGTCACTTCTTATTTCTATCACAAGGGATGCATGCATTCCTTGTGATAGGAATAAAAGTGATTAAAATTTTTTTTAAATGTTGTTTCTATTATAACATTTTGCAAACAAATAATTTTTCTCCTTCACTGATGTACATTGATGAGGCAGCACTGATGGGCATTGATGAGGAGGCAATGGTGATGCACTGATAGCACTGACTGGAGACACTGATGGGTGGCACTGATAATCAGTGCAGATCTCCCCTGTCGCATTTGCCGGTTATCGGCAGGACTTCTCACGCTGTGACAGCATGAGGAAAGTGCTGCCGATAACCGTCAACTGTATTTACTTTGTGATTTGCTGTGTCATTGGACACAGCTGATCACATTGTAAAAGGCCGCTGTGATTGGGCTTTTACCGCCGTAGAACACAGCGATCACCGACAGTGCCAGGTGCATGCTACTGGGAGCGTGTTCTGGGTTGACATCCATGGATGCCCTACCAGTACTGGACTTAGTCGTCTTTTGGCTATAGCATGGTTGGGAAGCGGTTAAATTATTATTTAAATCAACTTGATTTAAATCAAATCCACCCTGCCAAAAGTGTATAAAATCAAGCACCAAGGCATGCAGACTGCTTCTACAAACATTTGTGAAAGAATGGGTCGCTCTCAGGAGCTCAGTGAATTCAAGCGTGGTACCGTGATAGGTTGCCCCCTGTGCAATAAGTCCATCTGTGAAATGTTCTGGCTACTAAATATTCCCGGTCAACTGTTAGTGGTATTATAACAAAATGGAAGCAACTGGGAACAACAGCAACAGGCCAGGTAAAATGACAGAGCGGGGTCAGCGCATGCTGAAGTGCACAGAAGTCTGTCCGCAAAGTCAATAGCTAAAAACCTCCAAACTTTGTGTGGCCTTCAGATTAGCACAACAACAGTGCATAGAGAGCTTCATGGAATGGGTTTCCATGGGCAGCACAGTGGCTAAATGGAATAAAAGTGATACTCGTGAGCTAAAATGTGGTGTTCTCTCTGTGCAACAATCTTATAAAAGTGTAAAACTTAACAAATATCAATAAAATTGTGATGCATCAACACTAAACACATACTCATAAACTGTGTGAAAAATTAAATTTAAATTATATCTAGATGTGTCGCGCTCCACAATATATATTAGATCAATCATGAACATATGGCACAAAATAATATAAAAGTGAAAAAAACTTGTGCTTCAAACAGTGCAATAGCTGTGCAAAAAAGCATATAAATATACAATCATAAAATGTTATAAAGTCCACTCTGTGCTTCAAATCTTGCTAGTGCCAATAAAAGTGCCGTGCAACACTCCCGGTGCTAAGGAATAGGTGTACGCTCACCTTACCAATTAGCCAAACTAAATGGCTAATAAAGCTTTTGTCCCATCAGGACTAATGCAGGCCATAGATGGGTCGAAAAAAAAACGGCCGATTTTTCTTTTCAAAAAACGAACAATCGGTCGTTCAAGTGGCCGACGTTACCACCAATGGTAAAAAAAAAAAATCGGCCGATTTTCATCCCGTCTACAGCCGGCAAAAAGTGTCCCTGCAGAGAGCTCCGCTATTTCTGACAGTTCTCTGACAGTTCCTTCATATTTACAGCGGTTGAAACATTGTATCTATTTGTTTTCCGAATAAAAACATCTGTATCCTAAATGGAAATAGATACAATGTTTCAACCGCTGTAAATATGAAGGAACTGTCAGAGAACTGTCAGAAATAGCGGAGCTCTCTGCAGACACTTTTTGCTGGACTGGAATTCTTCTTATTTTCATCCTACTTCTTCTTCTTCATCCTCATCCTCTTCTTCTTCATCCTCTTCTTCTTCTTCATCATCATCCTCTTCTTCTTCTTCATCCTCTTCTTCTTCTTCATCATCATCCTCTTCTTCTTCATCCTCTTCTTCTTCATCATCATCCTCTTCTTCTTCATCCTAATCTTCATCCTCATCCTCCTCTTCTTCCTCTTCCTCATCCTCTTCTTCTTCCTCATCCTCATCCTCTTCCTCATCCTCTTCCTCATCCTCTTCCTCATCCTCTTCCTCATCCTCTTCCTCTTCCTCATCCTCTTCCTCTTCCTCATCCTCTTCCTCATCCTCTTCCTCTTCTTCTTCCTCTTCCTCATCCTCTTCTTCTTCCTCTTCCTCATCCTCTTCTTCTTCCTCTTCCTCATCCTCCTCTTCTTCTTCTTCCTCTTCCTCATCCTCTTCCTCATCCTCTTCCTCATCCTCTTCTTCTTCCTCTTCCTCATCCTCTTCTTCTTCCTCTTCCTCATCCTCTTCTTCTTCCTCTTCTTCTTCCTCTTCCTCATCCTCTTCTTCTTCCTCTTCCTCATCCTCTTCCTCTTCCTCATCCTCATCCTCTTCTTCTTCCTCATCCTCTTCTTCTTCTTCTTCTTCCTCATCCTCTTCATCCTCATCCTCTTCATCCTCATCCTCTTCATCCTCCTCCTCTTCATCCTCCTCCTCTTCCTCAGCCTCTTCCTCAGCCTCTTCCTCATCCTCTTCCTCATCCTCTTCTTTTTCTTCCTCTTGCAGGTCACTGCTCATGCGCAGATTTTTTATCGGTAAAAAATCGGCCGATTAGCCCATTAATGCCGCGAAAATCGGCCGATCGGCCGATTTTTTTCCAACTTCACCAAAAAAAAAAAACAGCCAAAATCCCGAACAACGGCCGACCAAATCGCCCACTAACGATCCGAAAATCAGGCCATAGATGGGTCGAAAAACGGCAGATTTTTCTTTTAAAAAACGAAAAATCGGTCATTCAAATGGCCGACGTTACCATCAATGGTAAAAAGAAAAGAAAAAAAAAAAAAAAAAAAAAAAAAAAAAAAAAAATCGGCCAATTTTCATCCCGTCTAGAGCCGGCAAAAAGTGTCCCTGCAGAGAGCTCTGCTATTTCTTTGACAGTTCTCTGACAGTTCCTTGACATTTATAGAGGTTGCAACAATGTATCTATTTGTTTCCATTTAGGATACAGATGTTTTTATTCGGAAACAAATAGATACAATGTTGCAACCGTTGTAAATGTCAAGGAACTGTCAAAGAAATAGCGGAGCTCTCTGCAGAGACACTTTTTTGCTGGACTGGAATTCCTCTTATTTTCATCCTACTTCTTCTTTTTCTTCATCCTCTTCTTCTTCTTCATCCTCTTCTTCTTCATCATCATCCTCATCTTCTTCTTCATCATCATCCTCATCTTCTTCTTCTTCCTCTTCTTCATCCTCATCCTCTTCCTCTTCTTCCTCATCCTCTTCCTCTTCATCATCCTCACCCTCTTCTTCTTCATCCTCACCCTCTTCTACTTCATCATCCTCATCCTCCTCTTCTTCATCATCCTCATCCTCCTCTTCTTCTTCATCATCCTCCTCCTCTTCATCATCCTCCTCTTCATCCTCATCCTCTTCTTCATCATCCTCATCTTCTTCTTCATCATCCTCATCCTCTTCTTCATCATCCTCATCCTCTTCTTCATCATCCTCATCCTCTTCTTCATCCTCTTCCTCTTCTTCATCCTCTTCCTCTTCTTCATCCTCTTCCTCTTCCTCTTCTTTTTCTTCTTTTTGTCTTCCTCTTGCAGATCACTGCTCATGCGCAGATTTTTTATCGATAAAAAATCGGCCGATTTGCCCACTAATTGCCGCGAAAATCGGGCCGATCGGCAAAATCGGCCGATTTTTTTTTTCCAACTTTACCGGGGAAAAAAAAAAACGGCCAAAACACCGAAAAAACCGAAAAACGGCCGACCAAATCGCCCACTAACGATCCAAAAATCGGCCGATTTTATTTTCGGCTGAAAAATCGGCCGATTTTCGACCCATCTATGGCCTGCATAATGCAGGCCATAGATGGGGAGAAAAACTGCAGATTTTTCTTTTAAAAAACGAAAAATCGGTTCAAGTGGCCGACGTTACCATCAATGGTAAAAAAAATCGGCCGATTTTCTACCTGTCTAGAGCCGGCAAAAAGTGTCCCTGCAGAGAGCTCTGCTATTTCTTTGACAGTTCTCTGACAGTTCCTTGACATTTATAGAAGTTGCAACAATGTATCTATTTGTTTCCATTTAGGATACAGATGTTTTTATTCGGAAACAAATAGATACAATGTTTCAACCGCTGTAAATGTCAAGGAACTGTCAGAGAACTGTCAGAAATAGCGGAGCTCTCTGCAGAGACACTTTTTGCTGGACTGGAATTCTTATTTTCATCCTACTTCTTCTTCTTCTTCATCCTCATCCTCTTCTTCTTCTTCATCTTCTTCTTCTTCATACTCATCCTCTTCTTCTTCATACTCATCCTTCTTCATCCTCATCCTTCTTCTTCTTCTGCAGCCTCATCCTATTCTTCTTCTTCATCATCATCCTCCCTCTTCTTCATCCTCCTCTTCTTCTTCATCATCCTCCTCTTCTTCTTCATCCTCATCCCTTTTCTTCTTCATCATCCTCATCCTCTTCTTCTTCATCATCCTCATCCTCTTCCTCATCTTCTTCATCCTCATCCTCCTCATCTTCTTCTTCTTCTTCCTCATCCCTCTTCTTCTTCCTCATCCTCATCTTCTTCCTCATCCTCAATCTTCTTCTTCCTCATCCTCTTCTTCTTCTTCCTCATCCTCTTCTTCTTCTTCCTCTTCCTCTTCTTCTTCTTCCTCATCCTCTTCTTCTTCTTCCTCATCCTCATCCTCTTCTTCTTCATCCTCCTCTTCTTCTTCATCATCCTCCTCTTCTTCTTCATCATCATCCTTTTCTTCTTCATCATCCTCATCCTCTTCCTCATCTTCTTCTTCTTCTTCTTCTTCCTCATCCTCTTCTTCTTCTTCCTCATCCTCATCCTCTTCTTCTTCTTCTTCTTCCTCATCCTCTTCTTCTTCTTCTTCCCTCATCCTCTTCTTCTTCTTCTTTTTCCTCATCCTCTTCTTCTTCTTCTTCTTCCTCATCCTCTTCTTCTTCCTCATCATCCTCTTCTTCTTCTTCCTCATCATCCTCTTCTTCTTCTTCCTCATCATCCTCTTCTTCATCTTCTTCTATGAGGAAGAGTATGAGGATAGAGGATGAGGATGATGAAGAAGAAGAAGAGGATGAGGATGAAGAAGAAGAAGTAGGATGAAAATAAGAAGAATTCCAGTCCAGCAAAAAGTGTCTCTGCAGAGAGCTCCGCTATTTCTTTGACAGTTCTCTGACAGTTCCTTGACATTTACAGCGGTTGAAACATTGTATCTATTTGTTTCCGAATAAAAACATCTGTATCCTAAATGGAAACAAATAGATACATTGTTGCAACTTCTATAAATGTCAAGGAACTGTCAGAGAACTGTCAAAGAAATAGCAGAGCTCTCTGCAGGGACACTTTTTGCCGGCTCTAGACGGGTAGAAAATCGGCCGATTTTTTTTACCATTGATGGTAACGTCGGCCACTTGAACAACCGATTTTTTCGTTTTTTAAAAGAAAAATCTGCAGTTTTTTCTCCCCATCTATGGCCTGCATAAGTGGTATTTTCCATGCTGAGTAGTTGTTTCCAAATTTGAGTGGATAGGCTTGTACTACCAACTTTCTCCCACCGGGGGTCTCCCTCACTCCTTTCTAGCCACACTGAGCCTTAGTGGATGGATGAGACAAATCTGTATACTGCTTCCACCTCCCGGTATTATGGGATGTCATAAAAAAGGAAGTAACAATAGTGCCTTATCCTTTTAATAAAAAGCACCTCAGCTTTTTATTAAAGAAAAATTGCGCACTCACACATTATAGTGCTATTTCAAACAAATGTAATGTGCCCAGATCCTCAGTTTGTACAGTGGCTAAATGGGTAGCACTCCTGCCTGGCAGTGCTCAGGTCATTGGTTCGAATCCCAACCCTGGCACCACCTGCCTGGAATTTGCATGTTCTCCCTGTGACTGCGTGGGTTTCCTCCGGGTACTCCGGTTTTCCTCCCACACGCCAAAGACATGCTGGTAGGTTAATTGGCTCCTGTCTAAATTGGCCCTAGTATGTGTATGTATGAATGTGAGTTAGGGACTTTAGATTGTACACCCCTTGAGGGTTAGGGACTGATGTGAATGTACAATATACGTATGTAAAGCGCTGCGTAAATTGACAGCACTATATAAGTACCTGAAATAAATAATAAAATGGCCAAGCAGCTGCATCCAAGCCTTACATCACCAAATGCAAAGCATCCGATGCAGTGGTGTAAAGCACGCTGCCACTGGAATCTATAGCACTAGAGACGTGTTCCCTGGAGTGACGAATCACACTTCTCTGTCTGGCAATCTGATGGACGTGTCTGCATTTGGCAGTTGCCAGGAAACGGTACTTGCCTGACTGCATTGTGCCAAGTGTAAAGTTTAGTGGAAGGGAGATTATGGTGTGGGCTTGTTTTTCAGGGGTTGGGCTTGGCCCCTTAGTTCCAGTGAAGGGAACTCTTAAGGCGTCAGCATACCAAGACATTTTGGACAATTTCATGCTCTAAACTTTGTGGGAACAGTTGTTTGGGGATGGCCCTTCCCTGTTCCAACATGACTGCACACCAGTGCACAAAGCAAGGTCCATCAAGACATGGTTGAGCGAGTTTGGGGTGGAGGAACTTGACTGGCCTGCACAGAGTCCTGACCTAAACCTGATAGAACACCTTTGTGATGAATTAGAGCAGAGACTGTGAGCCAGGCCTTCTCGTCCAACATCAGTGCCTGACCTCACAAATGTGCTTCTGGAAGAATGGTCAAACATTCCCATAGACACCCTCCTAAACCTTGTGGACAGCCTTCCCAGAAGAGTTGAAGCTGTTATAGCTGCAAAGAGTGGGCCAACTCAATACGGAACCCTAGGACTGGAATGCCATTAAAGTTCATGTGTGTGGAAAGGCAGGAGTTGATACTTTTGGCAATATAGTGTATGTATTATGTACTTATAACACGTGAATTGTTATAACATTAATAAACAGCCAATTGCTGCACTTCTTACATGGCCCTTCCCTGTCTTTCTATACTGCGATCACACAGGAGCAGTAGGGGAAACCACATATACGATTTGGACAGAAATCACACCGCACTCCTGTTCAAATCGCATTCGATTCTTTGCAGTGCATGGGTTCAAATCACACCGCAGAGGTACCGGGAGCACTTGCACTAGTACTCATGTAAGCACTCGGTATCGGTGCAACCCTGATCCTCATCCTGCTCTGTTACGCTTTGTAAATGAAAGCTTGAAGCTGACTGGTTACTATGCACAGCTGCTGTAAATTGTTTTCCTTGGTCTTAGTAAATTCCCCTCACTGCGTCCCTTCATAGCAGGTGCACGCCTCATTCTCCATACATAATTAGGTCACAATTGTCATACAGTCTGCAGTGTAATAACACTGACCTCCTATATATATATAAAAGAGTATTTATAATTTTCATAAGGAGAACCTCTCGTTACCCTCATAGGTTACACCTAAACGTAATTCACAGACTGCTCTCTACTCACAGATACCAGCAGGCTTCCAGGAGGGACCGCAAACCGAGAACTGCAGCGAGCACGGAAGCTTCTAACGATCCAGTCGCCGTTGTTCTGACGCCCACCAATCCAAACTCGCCTTCGCTGGTCACACGAATGCTTATTGGATACCTTTACAGCGAGGCTTGACTCGCATGACACTCGGTGTGCGCCGCCGATGTTAATTGGCTGTGTGAAAGTGGGCAGGTCCAAGAGTGGAGGGAGGGGTGAAAGGAATGCCGTCTCCATGGTGACAGGCTCTGAGTGAACTGCAGAACAACTCCGCTGTGACATGAGGAAGTGACAAAACTGGGGACAACTTCTGAAGGGCCGCCCGTTGCTGCGACATAGGTGAGTTTTCAGTGTTCTCAGAAAGTTCCTATACAGCCAGTCACGGCCCACATAGACTTCCATAGACCTAAGCCGCATACCTTCTGTGTGTGAGTGACCTGTATGAGGTGAGACCACCAAGGAGAAGCTACTAGTGAAGCAGCCAATCAGCTTCTATCTTTCATGTTCAAAGTTTCTATAAACAAGCTGAAGATAGAAGCTGATTGGTTGCCATGTACAGCTGAATTCTCCTCAGACGAGGAATACGTCCCTGCCAGGGGAAAGGCTCAGTGTAGTCAGCTGCTGGTGCTGAGGAGATTCGGAAGTTGTGTCAACCACCATTGTCTTTTAACCACTTCAATACCAGGGCACTTATACCCCCTTCTGCCCAGGCCAATTTTCAGCTTTCAGCGCTGTCACACTTTGAATGACAATTTCGCTGTCATGCAACACTGTACCAATATGAAAATTTTATACATTTTTCACACAAATAGAGCTTTCTTTTGGTGGTATTTAATCACCAGTTTTTAATTTTTTGCTAAATAAAACAAAAAAACACTTGAAACTTTTGAAAAAAAACACACGTTTCTTACTTCTGTTATAAAATTTTGCAAATAAATAACATTTTTTCATAAATTTAGGTCAAAATGTATTCTGCTACATTTCTGTGGTGAAAATAATAATAATAATTGAATTTTGTATTTTTTTTTCAAATGTTTCTATTTTTTTTTTTATTACATTTTTTCTTTTTTTTACTATTTTATTTTTCAGCACACTGTGACCAAAGCAATACAATGTTACCATAGTAACATTGAACTACTCTGGGCAAGTGATCAGGATTTGTTTTGTTTTTTTTAACACATTATGATTGCTAATACCAATGTATTTCATTGATATTTTCAATCATTGTTACTGAATGAAACTGATTCATTCAGTCTTTTGTTGTGATTAGCTGTGATTGGGCAAAGCTGATCCCATGATACAGATGGGCTGTGGTTGGCCCTGTCTGTATCATGTGACTGCCTTGACCAGTCATAGCTAACAACATAATTGTATACAATGGATGGCATGACAGGAAGCCATCCATTGTATACAATTGACATGTGATCTGCTGTGATTGGTCACAGCGGTCACATGACACTGACAATGGGCCAGTGTAGTGATAGCCGATGACAGATCGCGTGGCTGTGTGAGCGGCTCGTTTTGACAGGATGTCACATGACGCCCAGTGACAACGGCGAGTGTCTCGCCCAGCCGATAATCTGCTATAGGCTGGGCAGGAAGGTGTTAATCACTCAGTTGCAGAGGCCATTTCTCATTGGATGTTGGAGCCCCGGAGTACCGCACCTCTTATACACATCTCTCGGAACTCATCTTTAGGCCCCATTCACACCAGCGCTTTGATTTCAGCGGGCTACTCTACGCACCGCAAACACAGCAAAGTAACTCATGTAGGTGTTTACTACGCTCATATGTGTGTGTGTTTTTACCATGTGCTTTGTGCATCCGTATCTGTGTGAAATGTGAAGTTTTTTTACCACATGTCGTAAACACACAATTATACCTGCCATTACAAAACAAGAAGCTGTGAATGGAGGTTTAGGGTCACCACACGCATTAAAATGTAAACGTACAATCTCCTTTAGATCTACTATGTAGTGCAAGGGCCTGCCTGATTGGTTACAAATTGACTGGGAAGTTAGGCGGGTCCTCATTACATAATTGTGGTAAAGTCGGCCAATACACGGGTCGAATTCCAAAAGAACTTTCTTTCGAAAATCATTTCTAAGAATTTTCGTTCGAATTTCACACCATTAGTGGGTCACAGAAATGGCCAATTTTCATGCTACCATCAAATTTGAGTGATCGGGCATGTTGGATATTTTTTGAAAAAGAAACAAATTTAGAATTAATGATGGGAGAATTGTACGGTAAATATAAACAAAAACAAATTGAGCATGAGCTGTGACCTGGAAAGAAAAGAAAAATCTTGGCCATGTATATCCTTTTCTGTAGCAACACGAGGTGAAATTGAAGGCTTGGTTGGCTGAATTTCAAAATCAATGGTGGCAGCATCGGATTACAACATGCACAAAATTTCCAATTTTCTACAGAAAATTCATTTGGAATTCGACCCATGTATGGCCTGCTTAAATCTAAAGTTGGGTGTATGGTCAGGTTGTGACCTTTGAGCTGGCCGAACGGTATACAATTTTCTTGTTCAATTTCCTAAATGATTTACCTTCAACCAGGCCTTTTTTTTTTTCAAAGGAAATAGGTGCAGACACACCCCTCTTCCAAGTCACCCCTTGTCTCCTCCCCCTACCCAGCTCCGAACACCATCACTTGTCTCCTCCCCCTACCCAGCTCCGAGCACCATCCCTTGTCTCCTCCCCCTTCCCTAGCTCCGAGCACCATCCCTTGTCTCCTCCCCCTTCCCAGCTCCGAGCACAATCCCTTGTCTCCTTCCCCTGCACAGCTCCGAGCACCATCCCTTGTCTCCTTCCCAGCTCCGAGCACCATCCATTGTCTCCTTCCCCTACCCAGCTCCGAGCACCATCACTCGTCAACTCCCCCTTTCCAGCTCCGAGCACCATCCCTTATCTCCTCCCCCTATCCAGCTCCGAGCACCATCCCTTGTCTTCTTCCCCTTCTCAGCTCCGAGCACCATCCATTGTCTCCTTCCCCTACCCAGCTCCGAGCACCATCCCTTGTCTCCTTCCCCTACCCAGCTCCGAGCACCATCCCTTGTCTTCTTCCCCTTCTCAGCTCCGAGCACCATCCATTGTCTCCTTCCCCTACCCAGCTCCGAGCACCATCCCTTGTCTCCTTCCCCTACCCAGCTCCGAGCACCATCCCTTGTCTCCTTCCCCTTCCAAACTCCGAGCACCATCACTCGTCCACTTCCCCTTCCAAACTCCGAGCACCATCACTCGTCCCCTTCCCCTTCCCATCTCCGAGCGCCGTCCCTCGTCTCCTCCCCCTACCCAGCTCCCAGCTCCGTCCCTCGTCTCCTCCCCGTACCCAGCTCCAAGCACCATCCCTTGTCTCCTCCCCTTTCCCAGCACCGAGCACCATCCCTGGTCTCCTTCCCCTACCCAGCTCCGAGCACCATCACTCGTCTCCTCCCCCTTCCCAGCTCTGAGCACCATCCCTTGCCTCCTCCCCCTACCCAGCTCTGAGCACCATCCCTTGCCTCCTCCCCCTACCCAGCTCTGAGCACCATCCCTTGCCTCCTCCCCCTACCCAGCTCTGAGCACCATCCCTTGCCTCCTCCCCATACCCAGCTCCCAGCGCCGTCCCTTGTCTCCTCCCCATACCCAGCTCCGAGCACCATCCCTCGTCTCCTTCCCCTACCCAGCTCCGAGCACCATCCCTCGTCTCCTTCCCCTTCCAAACTCCGAGCACCATCCCTCGTCTCCTTCCCCTTCTAAACTCCGAGCACCATCCCTCGTCTCCTTCCCCTTCCCAGCTCTGAGCACCATCACTCGTCTCCTCCCCCTTCCCAGCTCTGAGCGCCGTCCCTCATCTCCTCCCCCTACCCAGCTCCCAGCTCCGTCCCTCGTCTCCTCCCCGTACTCAGCTCCAAGCACCATCCCTTGTCTCCTCCCCTTTCCCAGCACCGAGCACCATCCCTGGTCTCCTTCCCCTACCCAGCTCCGAGCACCATCACTCGTCTCCTCCCCCTTCCCAGCTCTGAGCACCATCCCTTGCCTCCTCTCCTACCCAGCTCTGAGCACCATCCCTTGCCTCCTCCCCCTACCCAGCTCTGAGCACCATCCCTTGTCTCCTCCCCATACCCAGCTCTGAGCACCATCCCTTGTCTCCTCACTCTACCCATCTCCCAATACTGCCCATTTTAGAGAATACAGAACACACAGTGCTAAGTAATTTTTATGGATTTTAATAACAAGAAAGGCAGCAAAACAGATCTCCTGCAGCCATCAACAGCTCCCCCCCCCCCAGCAACAATAGACGCCCCCAGGAAAACAGACCCACCTCAGCAACAAAATATCCATCTATCCCCCCATCAACAATAGATCTCCCAGCAGCCAGCATCAGTAGCAAAAATAGACCGCTCCCTCAGCAGTAGTTCCATTCCAGCAACAATTAACCCACCAGCATCAATAGAACACCCACATCAATAGATCCCCCCCAGCAGCAATAGTGACCCCGGCATTAATAAACCCCCCCCCGCACCCTTTGTCATTACATACATTCAGAGCGGGAGGTGGCAGAACTGCGTGCCCCCGCGTTCCCGCTGAAAAAAAGCCCTTTCTTCAACTATGTAATGCAAAGGTCTGCCTGATTGTATTCAAATTGAAAGCATATAGGTTTGACTTCATATTATATGGGTTTTGGTAAATCGAAAGGAAAATTTTATAATACATAGCCGGCCTTAGGGGCACAATCTTTGTTCAGTCACCAAAACTATGTAATATAAGGACCTACCTAATCTATCCAATCACTTTGTATCCAGACAAGCAGGCCCTTGCAGAGATTGTACAATCAGATTGTATAGTGTGTTGAGCTTTAGAGGCCATTTACACTTGTGCGACTTGTCATGCGACTTTGGGGTCCAAAGTCGCATGAGAATTCGCACCCCATGTTTCCCAATGAGTACCATTCATATTTGTGGGACTTCGAGTGCAGTGACCTAAAAGTAGTTCCTGAACTACATTCATGTGACTTGAGGGCCATAGCTTTTAATGTAAACCCTCCAAAGTCGCATGAAAGTCGCACCTGAATGTTATACATGCGACTTGTGTGCAACCTTGTACAGCACAAAGTAAAGAAAATCTGGAATCCACTGCACTCTTAATCTTTATTCGTTTTAGGTAAAATCCATATCACAGGCAGTGCCAGGAAGAAAAAGGTTAACGCGCTTCATGCTAAAAACTAGCGCCTATTCATAACCACCATTTACAGCACAAACAGTCGTCCTTTGATAGAGCCAAAGTCGCATCAACATGCAGAAAAAAAAAAATTACACGATTTTGATGTCGCACAAGTGTGAATGGAGCCTTAAGGGTAACCATAACCATAAGGCTAAATGTACACTACACAATCTGATTGTTTAATCTACTTTATATCTATCAACAACAATATTGTGCTAGGGCCTGCTTGGTTGGATACAGATTGATTTGGTAGTTATTATTATTACATCGAGTTTATATAGTGCCAAAGGGTTTGCTCATTGCTGTACAATAGAGGGGGGGGACAATACATGAAACAGTACAGCAACAACAAACAGCACACGAGGGGGTAGTTTAGTTAGATCCTAATAATACATAGTTATGGTAAATTTAAAGTTGATTGTACAAAGATTTTAACATGTATGGTGGGCCATATGTGGACCATACACTATACAACCTGATTGTACAATCATCTTTAGATCAACCAACAACTATGCACTGTAGAAACCTGTGTGATTGGATATACAGTCATGGCCGAAATTGTTGGCACCCTTGATATTTTTCCTGAAAATCAAGTATTTCACACAAAAAAGGTATTGCATTAACACATGTTTTGCTATACACATGTTTATTCCCTTTGTATGTATTGGAACAAATATAAAACAGAGGCAGAAAAGCAAATATGACATAATGTCACACAAAACCCCAAAAATGGGCTGGACAAAAGTATTGGCACCCTTAACTTAATATTTGGTTGCAACACCCTTTGGAAAACATAACTGAAAATCAGTCGCTTCCTATAACCATCAATAAGCTTCTGACACCTCTCACCCGGAATTTTGGACCACTCTTCCTTTGCAAACAGCTCCAGGTCTCTCTTATTGGAAGGACACCTTTTCCCAACAGCAATTTTAAGATCTCTCCACAGGTGTTCAATGGGATTTAGATCTGGGCTCATTGCTGGCCACTTCAGAACTCTCCAGCGCTTCTTTGCCATCCATTTCTGAGTGCTTTTTGACGTATGTTTGGGGTCATTGTCCTGCTGGAAGACCCAGGATCTTGGACGCAAACCCAGCTTTCTGACACTGGGCCCTACAGTGCGACCCAAAATCCTTTGGTAATCCTCAGATTTCATGATGCCTTGCACACAGTCAAGGCACCCAGTGCCAGAGGCAGCAAAACAACCCCAAAACATCATTGAACCTCCACCATATTTTACCGTAGGTACTGTGTTTTTTGTTCTTTGTAGGCCTCATTCCGTTTTCGGTAAACAGTAGAATGATGTGCTTTACCGAAAAGCTCTATCTTGGTCTCATCTGTCCACAAGACGTTTTCCCAGAAGGCTTTTGGCTTACTCAAGTACATTTTGGCAAACTGTAGTCTTGCTTTTTTATGTCTCTGTGTCAGCAGTGGGGTCCTCCTGGGTCTCCTGCCATAGCGTTTCATTTCATTTAAATGTCGACGGATAGTTCGCGCTGACACTGATGCTCCCTGAGCCTGCAGGACAGCTTGAATGTCTTTGGAACATGTTTGGGCTGCTTATCCACCATCCGGACTATTCTGCGTTGCAATCTTTCATCAATTTTCCTCATCCGTCCATGACCAGGGAGATTAGCTACAGTGCCATGGGTTGCAAACTTCTTGATAATGTTGCGCACTGTGGACAAAGGCAAATCTAGTTCTCTGGAGATGGACTTGTAACCTTGAGATTGTTGATATTTTGCCACAATTTTGGTTCTCAGGTCCTCAGACAGTTCTCGTCTCCTCTTTCTGTTGTCCATGCTTAGTGTGGCACAGACAGACACACAATGCAAAGGTTAAGTGAACGTCTCTCCTTTTTATCTGCTTTCAGGTGTGATTTCTATATTGCCCACACCTGTTACTTGCCCCAGGTGAGTTTACAGGAGCATCACATGCTTGTAACATTCTTATTTATCCGCAGTTGTGAAAGGGTGCCAATACTTTTGTCCAGCCCATTTTTGGAGGTTTGTGTGACATTATGTCGAATTTGCTTTCTTTCCTCCCTTTTTTTGTTTTGTCCCAATACACACAAAGGGAATAAACATGTGTATAGCAAAACATGTGTTAATGCAATACGTTTCGTGAGAAATACATGATTTCCTGGAGAAATATCAAGGGTGCCAACAATTTCGGCCATGACTGTAGATCAATTGGATTGTACAGATTTGCTTTCATATTGCATAGTTTTGGTATATTTAAATAAATCTATACAGGGATTTTGCAATCAGATTGTAGTGCCTATGGCCTCCCTTAGGCTGATGATACAGTCTGATTGTACAATCACTTTTAGATCTACCATCTGCTGTGGAGTGCAAGGGCCTGCCTGATTTGACACTAATTGAATAGGTTATTTAGGTTTGTCCTTATATTACATAGTTTTGATTACTCAAAGGAGTATTGAACTGGTATTATAAAATCAGATTGTAAAGTATATAATCAGCTTTAGAGAAATTTTTTTTTCACTGATGAAAATGGTTTTATCAGAAGGGCAAAATCTGCAACAGAGGCACAGTAAGAAAAAGCTGGCCTCCTTATGATCCCTAAAATAGCATTGCCTGGTTTTTGTACAGACTTTTATGGGAGGTCAGTGTTATTGCACAGTAGTCAAGGTGATGGCTTACCAACAGAGTCTCTCTACATCACTCTGCTGGGTGACTGCAATGTAACTCCAACCAGAACTTTTTATTTTTGAGTTTTGGAACAAGCAGAGAAGAGTTAGGATCCTCTAGAGAGGCAACATCTCCCTGGTGAAGGGGGGCAAAATCTTCAACAGGGATACAGCAATAAAAAGCTGGCAATTGTTCCAGCCCTCCCAGACTAAAGAAAGTATGTTTTATATTTTTCAAACAACAAATACCGTATTTTTCACCGTATAAGACGCACCTGACCATAAGACGCACCTAGGTTTTAGAGGCAGAAAACAGGAAAAAAAAAATTCTGAACTAATGGACTGCAGACACAGTACAGGAGATGACCAGAGACTGCGGACAGCACAGGGATGACCAGAGACTGCGGACACAGTACAGGGATGACCAGAGACTGCGGACAGCACAGGGATGACCAGAGACTGCGGACAGCACAGGGATGACCAGAGACTGCGGACAGCACAGGGATGACCAGAGACTGCGGACACAGTACAGGGATGACCAGAGACTGCGGACACAGTACAGGGATGACCAGAGACTGCGGACACAGTACAGGGATGACCAGAGACTGCGGACACAGTACAGGGATGACCAGAGACTGCGGACACAGTACAGGGATGACCAGAGACTGCGGACACAGTACAGGGATGACCAGAGACTGCGGACACAGTACAGGGATGACCAGAGACTGCGGACAGCACAGCGATGACCAGAGACTGCGGACAGCACAGGGATGACCAGAGACTGCGGACAGCACAGGGATGACCAGAGACTGCGGACAGTACAGATGACTGCTGACCTTTGGGGAGGTGGGGAGCGGGTACCTGAATGACAGGTACCCGCTCTTACTTCCGCAGAGTTTTTGTTTGAGCTTACCTGTTCCTCGATCCATCCGCGCGCTGTCTTCCCGGCTTCTGTAATGGCGCTTGGCATGACAGCCGGGTGCCCAGTGCGCATGAGCGAGAAGCACTTGCGCTTTGTGATTGGTCCCGCGGCTTCTGGGATCTGTCATGTGTCCCAGGTACCGCATTACCATTCACAAAAAGCACCGCTTCTTGCGCATGCGCACTGGGCACCCGGCTGTCATGCCGAGCGCCATTACAGAAGCCGGAAGACAGTGCGCCGCTGGATAGAGGAACAGGTAAGGTCCCGCTGCAGAGCTGAGCGGCCGGCCCGGTATTCTGACACGGCCGCGGTGGAAATACCGGACCGGCCGCTCCATATTCGCTCTATAAGACGCACTGACATTTCCCCCCCAGTTTTGGAGAAGAAAAAGTGCGTCTTATACGGCGAAAAATACGGTACATGAGACCGTGTACAAACAGAAAATGTAAAAGTAAGTAAATTACTAGTAAATAATAAAAGTAAAGACCCATTCACAATTGTGCGACTTTGTATTTCAATGATTTTTATTAACTTTTTAAAAAACAATTTAACGAAGAAAAACCAGAGCAAAAGACACGTCCATGCAGAGGCTATCAGTGGCACATAAAAAATAAAGAGAACAGTGCTGTGACATCAACATGTAAAAGGTGTACCCACATAGGGGCCATTAAAGGCACATAAATTACAAAATCAGTGATATAACACCAACAATATACAGTATGGACCCGCACCCCTGAAGAGGGACAGACAGGCTTTTTCAGGCCTGAGCAATTGTTCTAGTGGCCGATAAAAACAATTAGAAAGCCAACTTATGCTGATGGGCCAATAGGTCCAGTATGGGACCATGAAACAAAGCATATCGAGCCTCCCGGCGTATGGAGAGATGGAACAATGTGTAAAGAAGGCCAAATACACAAGACCAAAAACCAATCAGTCTCGGGCATGACCACCATATATGCAATACATCTCCACGATGCCACAACCCCGAAAGCAGTGATCAACCTGAAAAGCCATCAGTGCCTGTGGCTGCAGTGGACTGTAAAGATTTGATACCTTGAAGTACTTCTGATACGGTTACTGCAGCATTGAGGGCTACCTGCGCAGCTTCGAACAATCCGGGAAGTTGTAGATCTTGAAAGAACGCTTCTGCTTGAGCTACAGGGAAGGGATCTGGTTTGGCATATAGGCGTGAAAGGAAGTCTGCGAAGTGTGAAACAATCTGCTGGGGATTGGAAGTGCAGCCCCCCGCAGGGAGTCGTAACCGTACCATTTTGGTGGGTTTCCCCACAGAATTGAGTTTCCTAGCCAGCATTGAACCCGGCTTAATAGCACAGGTATAAAATCTATGTTTGGTCCAACACAAGTCTGGCTCAGCCTCCCAAGAAGCAAACAAGTCTAATTCTGCAGCCAGAGCGTCCTGTGTTTATTTATGGGCCACGGATGGGTGCGACTTCCAACGAGCATCCGCAGAGGCTAGTAAAGTGTGGAGGTCCAAAAGACGATGCTTCCGCTTCCGAGCAGCAGCCATCTGTATAATGTGGCCCCGTGCCATGGCTTTATGCACCTTCCACAGAGGCACAGCCAAAGAAACAGATCTCGAGTTCTTCGTGAAATATGTACGTAGGAAAGATTCTATTTGTTGGCAGGTGACCTGAGTAGTCAAGAAAGATTTGTTAATGTGCCACTGAAAAGGGCGCCGTGCTGACCCTAATATGGCAAGGAGTAGAACCAGGGGATCATGATCTGACCAGGATGACGAAGGGATAGATATCCACCTAAGGGAAGCTGCTGGACATGCATAAATACGTGGTCAATTCTGCAGAAACTGTTATAGGGATTTGAGTAGAACGTGAAGTCGCGCTCAGCTGGGTGAAGTTCCCTCCAAACATCCGCAAGCCCTGCAGTCTGCAAAAGAGAGCACATACATCCCTCTAACACTAAGTCGTGATAAGAGGCCGCCCCCCGGACAAAGCGCCTATCTAAAGCGGAGTCCAAGGTAATATTCGAATCCTTCAAAAGAAGAAGACCCTTGGAATGTCGGGAAATGAGAGATGCAGAGATGGGAAAAAAATGTATGCTGAAAGCGATTGGGGGCGTAGTAAGAGACAAAAGTAACCTCTTGGTCCCAGAGGGTGCCCTGCAGGAGCAAGTACCTGCCTGTGGTTTCTGCTATATTCTGAGCACAGATGAAGGGGAGATTACTTTTAAGAGCTATCAGAACACCCCACCGTTTCTTGGGAGCTGAGGCCGTGTAAAAGGTGGGATAATGAAGAAAAATACCATAGGGCAGAGGACTGGGAAAACCTGGTTTCCTGCAAGCATACTACGTCAATTTGTTGCGATTTGAGGCGATGGAAAACTTTAGACCGTTTCAGTGGCGAATTAAAGCCTTGGATATTTTGTGAATCTATTTTCAAAAGCCATGGCGGGATCAGCGTAATCTGCTCTCAGCAGAAAAGGCATAAGTCGGCCAATAATTGCCATTCCCAAGGACGGTCGGACCATGGCGTCCCAAAATCCTGCCTAAAACAAAAACAGAAAAACCAGGAAGGAAAAGAAGACAAGAAAAGAAAGATGGAAAAGACCACAGGAAAAAAATGTATAATAGCACAATCGTATCACACCAGTGGTGAAGTGCAAATTGTGCAACTTTGGACATTAAAGTCACACCCCATGTTTTTCAATGAGTACTGTTCATATCTATGCAACTTAAAGCAGAGTTCCAGTCACACTGTAAAAAAATAAAAGTCAGCAGCTACAAAAACTATAGCTGCTGACTTTTAAAAAACAGCCACTTACCTGTCCCTCAATCCCATGTTGTCCTCCCCGCAAACCTTTTCAGCAGCCGGCCAGTGTTCCCAGTGCCAGCATCTTCAGTGTGGGCACCCAGCTGTGACAGCTAGTGGCTTCACAGCCGGGTGCCCACTGCGCATGTGTGAGTAGTGCTTTGCTTTCTGAATGGTCCTGTAGTCTTCTGGGACCTGTCATGTGTCACAGAAGACTACAGGGAGGGGGAAGGATAACTTCCAATCACCTAGGCAATCACAGCGAAAGTGGGAGAGGGTACCTGTCAATTTTGGGTATCCCCCCACTCCCCAAAGGTGCCAATCCTAAATGGGGAGCAGGGGACCAGTCTTTAAAGCGGAACTTCCCCTTTTGGGTGGAGCTCCGCTTTAAAGTCACAGTAATTTCAAAGTAGTTTATGCACTACTTTGGTCCAACTTTTATGCGAATTAAGGTCTATAGACTACAATCTTAACCCTCAAAATTCACATGAAAGTCGCACCTAAATCTTATACATGCAACAGTTGTCCATTATCTTTGGTCAAAGCCAAAGTAGCATCCAAGTCGGACCCATCCAAAGTTACATCAAAGATACACTCCAAAATCGTGCAATTTTGGAGTTGCACAAGTGTGAATGGAACCTAAATAATGATAATCCATCCAATGATAATCCATCTCTGTGCCATGTAAAATAATAAAGCAATCAAAACTCCAGTCCATGAAAAGTGTCTTAATAAATAGCTCTTCACTTTGTTCCACCTTCAAAAGTAACTGTGCCACATGCAGATATGACCATTGGTGTCACTAATCCTTGACCAGCATGTATGAACAGCAAAGACAGCATGTGATAATAATTAAATCCAGGCTCTCTAGGGCAATCACCAGAAGTTACACTCCTCACTGTTTGGGTAGGATGCTGTGTAAATACTCACCACATGGAGCCACAAGGTTAAAATATATAGTGTATTTATTAACCTCTTCCCACCAGAGGTACGTATATATGCAGCCTCTTCGCTGGGGGGCTTTATATGCAGCCCTATGTAAACAGTTTTCTGTGCTGAGAGACCACTGATCACTTATTTCTCTGTCTTCAGTGAGCAGAGAGCCAGTGACTGTTAGTCATCGGCTGTCTGTTCTGCCTGTCACTGGAGTGCTGGGCTGTGGAGGGGGCGGAAGTGGCTTGCTCAGGCTCTCAGTGATGCGCCAAGAGGCTGAGCCAGCTGCCAGTCAGAAATGTGGATGGATCAACAGTGGGCTTCATTCTGCACTCCTTTGACCCACATGAGAAGTATGACCAAGAGAGTTTTCGCTCCACTTCATTAAACAAAAGCCTTGTTATGTCTGGCCACTAATATGGCACAACAACAGCCACCTTATTTATGTAAACTCAGACATGTTCAGATGTTATTTTGTATGCAAACAAGAAATATTGAGAAAAGAAGCAGCTGTCTGTTTGTAGCTTTGGTGCTAAGCATGGACTACACAATAGGTGGTCTCAACACAGAGTCTTTTCTGCTCAGACATTCAAATGACCATACTGAACTCTACTAATCAGTCCCGGTGACTTTTCTTTTACTTTTGATTTTGTATTTCACAGTGATTGTATACAACCTGAAGATAATGGAAACAGAACCAGAGGATGTAATGCCAGAATCGTCATTTGATAAGGACCCATTTCAAATGACAGTGGAGGATGTGTATGACATCTCCCATGTAATTGGCCAAGATCTTCTGAAGATCAACAAAGAGGCTCGTGGGGCATCAGACATTGTAGCTGACCTTCAGTTTAAGATTGTCCGAGTGTTGGAGGTGCTGGAAACTTTGGTGAACCAGTCAAGTCTTACTGCAGAGGAGCTCAAAATGGAACGTGATAACCTAAAGGCTGAGGTTGAAAGGCTACTAAGAGAAAACTCACAGTCTGGACAGGTATCTATGTAGTTCTGTTGTGGCTGGGGAAGGGCAGCAATCAGATCTCTCCTACTTTAGGACCTTTTCAAACAAAATGGCGTTAAAAAAACAGAGAACAGTCAATTCCAGTTATTATGCAGCTTTTAGATCAGGGGTGGGCAAACTTTTTGACTTGAGGGCCGCAATGGGTTCATATATTGGACCCGGGGGCCGGACCAAGAGTAGATGAATGATGTGTATGTGTCATCCATAGTAAGTATAGTAATATTCCCCCATAGTAAGCATAGTAATTAATCCCCCATATAGTAATTCATCCCCCATAGTAATTCATCCCCCATAGTAGTAATTCATCCCCCATATAGTAATTCATCCCCCGTAGTAATTCATCCCCCATATAGTAATTCATCCCCCATATAGTAATTCATCCCCCATATAGTAATTCATCCCCCATATAGTAATTCATCCCCCATAGTAATTCATCCCCCATATAGTAATTCATCCCCCATTCATAGTAATTCATCCCCCATATAGTAATTTCATCCCCCGTAGTAATTAATCCCCCGTAGTAATTCATCCCCATATAGTAATTCATCCCCCATATAGTAATTCATCCCCCATATAGTAATTCATCCCCCATATAGTAATTCATTCACTTACCTTTGCTCCGCGCGTTCCTCTCGCCGTGTTCCCGCGCCGTTCCGGTCTTCAGGGCGGACTGAGAGGAGCCTAGCTCCCCTCACGTTCGTCACGCTGCCCCGCCTACACACATCCTGACAGCCATCCTGACAGTCCACGGCTCCACGGGCCGGATTAAAAGGTCCGCCGGGCCGTAGTTTGCCCATTGCTGTTTTAGATGGTCTGTCCAGTGACCCATTCCACAATAGGCTTTCACACTATGGTGAACCAGCTTAATTAAAATGAATGAATTTTGAACTGAAGTCTTGCTTCTTTGCCTTCATGATGTATGAATACAATATATTAGTGTGAACAAGGCCCTAATGTAATTATCACATGCCTGTAAATGGTTTCTTAAAAAAAGCCCATACACATTTCAATTCTGTAGCTCAAACTAAGGGCAAGGTAATACAATTATATTTTGGTTTTACTACACATGTGGGGTGTTCTACTGCACAAAATAAAACTGCTTGGCTAACAAGATCATTAAGCACCATGTCAGATACAAAGTCACTTGCTCAATTTTCACTGTGGTAGTAATGAATTTATCTTTGGTTAATCAATACTGAGTGTATTAAACTTAATAATGTTTTTACTGATAAAAAAAAAACCGTGATCATGTTAAGTAGTTATTTTGATTTGCATGCGTTAACAGACAAGTGCAACTTCCCCTTAAAAGACACCGATCAGCTATCCAGACTCACTGTCCAGTGCTGTCTTTTCTCCGCAAACAGCATTTTTTTCAGGCTGTGACCTTCACTGTCTGCAGACAAGGAAAATCTATAGAGGAAATGTGTGAACGTGGAGCATAGAGCAAAATGGTAATAGGAGCACCATTGTCTCTTTTGGAGTTTCCACGTCTGCAGACTTTGCATACTGTTATTTTATTGAAAAACTGCTTTTACAGAGAGAAAGCTGAAATAGACAGAGCAAGCTGACTGAGAGGAAGTTGCATAACATACATTTTTAAGGAGCCTGTTTCTGAAAAAAAAAAGTTTGATATGATGTGGAAGAGGGCAAATAATTAGTAGAGGTCTTTTCTATATCCCCTTATCTACAGTACATTCATACTTACCAGACATTCACAGGTGGGAGGTGCATAGGTGTAGTAAAGTCTACTGACGGTACCAGCAATAAATAATGATAGAAGAGTTTAAACAAGAATTAGTTATTGTGAAATTGGATATTATTTACTTTTTATTACATATTTCATGTTTACAGACAGATCCTGGGCCAGACAAAATGATCATTGATTTGACAGACCCAAATCGGCCACGGTTTACCCTGCAAGAGCTGAGGGAAGTGTTACAAGAACGCAACAAGCTGAAAGTTCAGCTCTTGGTTGCTCAGGATGAGTTGCAGTGTTATAAAAGGTAGTCTTTTTCACTGTCCTGTTATTGGAATATAATATGTATTCTCCTTTGCACAATATTTTTTTTATTTATTTTTTTATATCAGTGGTGTCATTCCTCCAACTGAGGACCATATCATTATGCTGGAGGATGAATCCATAATTACAACCTCTCCAAGGTCAAATGAAGGCCACAAAGAGAAGTCATCAGTGAAAAGCCTGTAAGTATGGTTGATGTTTTTGCACACTGACATTAACTATAACAATGAAATACAGATTAATAGAAAACTTTGATGAATTCACAATAAACATACATGTTAAATGCATGGTACAACACACTTGCCTATTAATCACAGGTTGATGGGGTAAGGAAAGGTGAATGAAGCATATACAACTATACAGGTTTCCATGTTCTTGATCCATTGATTCAGTGTTTTTGTTTGAGAAACTCTCAAAACCTTTAGCTTGTGCTTCAGTTTCCTTAATGCTGGAAATTTAATTATAGATTTTTATGCAGCATACAAAAAGTGCAAGTGAATCTCAGGTGCAAATAATACAAAATTAATTTTAGTAAGTGAGGGAAGATATGCTTTCAAAGAACCTAATGGAACGTAAAAGAGAAGTAGGGGTTTGGAATTTTTTCGACTAATCATACTTACCTAGGTGTATGCAGCATTGTTCCAATGCTGCATCTGTCCCCCACCGGCTCTAAGTGTGAGAACTCAGTGATCACATGACCGCTGATCGCTGAGTTCTTACAGCTCCTCTAACCAGAGAGCAGTGACTGTCAGTCACCGCTGTCAGGTCTGCCCCCTCAGCGCTTACTGGAGCGCTGAACTGTGGAGAGGGAGGGAGCAGCTGGCTGGCGGCTCACTGAAAGTCTGAGCCAGGTGCCTGAGCCTGATACTGCAGTTGTTTAAATTTGCTTTTTTCCCTCATTAATCTATACACTCAGTACCCCATAATGACAAAGTGAAAATAGAATTTTAGAAATGTTTGCAAATGTATAAAAAAAAGGGAAAAAACTTAAATATCACATTGGCATAAGTATTCAGACCCTTTGCAAAAACACTTGAAATTTAGCTCAGCTGCCTCAGGTTTCTCTTGATTGTTGCTGAGATGTTTCTACACCTAAATTGGAGTCCATCTGTGGTAAATTAAATTGATTGGACACGATCTGGAAAGGCACACACCTCTCTATAAAAAGGAACTGCCTGCAGAGCTCAGAGACAGGATTATTGCAAGGCACATATCTGAGGAAGGCTACAGAAAACGGTCTGCTGCACTGAAGGTTCCCAAGAGTACAGTGTCCTCCATAATCCTCAAATGGAAGAAGTTTGGCAAAACCAGGTCTCTTCCAAGAGCTGCTCGCCCAGCCAAACTGAGCCACTGGGGAGAAGGGCCTTAGTAAGAGAGGTGAGCAAGAACCCAATGGCCATTCTGAGTTCCAGAGATCATGTGTGGAGATGGGGCAAATTTCCAAAAGGACAGCCATCACTGCACCCCTCTGTCAATCTGGCCTTTATGGCAGAGTGACTAGATGGAAGTGTCAGGGCTCCCGGGTATGACCAGAGGTGTGTGACTGATGCAGGGAAACGCAGACTTCAGATATGTTATAAACAATGTAATTTATTAACACTAACCATACAAACATAAACGCAGTGCAATACTAAAACATAACACAGTGCAAACAAACCAAACCAACCACCCACAGATAACAGTACATACAAGCAAGCGTCGTTCAGGCAGGCCGGGTCAATATCAATAGGGCAGGTAGGTACAGGGGGAGCAAGCGGAGATTGGTCGGGGTCACAGGCCAGGTTCAGCAGGTAGCGGGCAGTGTAGTACAGAGGGTCAGGCAGAGGGATGGTCAGGGTCACAAGCCAGGGATCAGAACAGGTAGCAAGCAGCGTGGTACAGAGGGTCAGGCAGAGGGATGGTCAGGAGCGAGCCGGGATCAGAGCAGGAGAAGTCAGCAGTGGTTCAGATCAGGCAGGGTCAGCAAAGGAACAGAAACAGGATGCAGGACAGATACAGGGCCCAGGACAAACACAACACCAAGGCAGAGTCTGCAAGTCTGGCCATCCCTTAAATACCCCAGCATAATCAGTTCCAGGTGTTAGCTGGCTGCAAAGTTGAGTCTCTGATTGCTGGGAGCACCCGCTGGCCAGCCCTGGTACTGCAGATCAAAAGGCAGATGAGTCCCACCATTGCTGGCTAGTCCATTCCTGACAGTACCCCCCCCTCAAGGAGCGGCCTCAGGACGCTCCAAACAGTCCTAGCTGGGCAAAATGTTCCACCGCCCGGGTCTGGTAACTGGCGGGATATCAAAGACTGGCACACCGGGCAGGACTCCGGGCAGCGGCACACCGGGCAGGACTCCGGGCAGCGGCACACCGGGCAGGACTCGGGCAGCGGCACACCGGGCAGAGGCACATCGGGCAAAGGACACCGGGCAGAGGCACATCGGGCAGGACTCCGGGCAGAGGCACATCGGGCGGACTCCGGGCAGAGGCACATCGGGCCGGACTCCGGGCAGAGGCACATCGGGCAGGACTCCGGGCAGAGGCACATCGGGCCGGACTCCGGGCAGAGGCACATCGGATTACCAGGCGAAGCAGCAGGCATCGGGCCACCGGGCGGAGCAGCAGGCACCGGGCCCCCGGGCGGGGCAGCAGGCACCGGGCCCCCGGGCGGGAGCAGCAGGCAGCGGGCCCCCGGGCGGGCAGCAGGCAGCGGGCCCCCGGGCGGAGCAGCAGGCAGCGGGCCCCCGGGCGGAGCAGCAGCAGGCACCGGGGCCCCCGGGCGGGGCGAGCATCGGGGTCCCCAGGCGGGGCGGGCGCCGGGCCTCCAGGAGCGGCGGGCGCCGGGGCCCCCAGGCGGGGCGGGACGCCGGGCCCCCAGGAGGGGCGACAGGCATCGGGCCCCCAGGCGGGGCGGCAGGCATCGGGGCCCCAGGCGGGGCAACAGGCTGAGTACAGGCATCAGGCTGAGTAGAGGAGGCTGAGTAGAGGATTCAGGCTGAGTAGAGGCTTCAGGCTGAACCACGGAAGGCAGGTTTACCGGTTTGGATACTGGCAGGATGGTATTGGTTGGAAAGAATTTTCGCTTTTTTCTGGTTTTAACTACTGGAACACTGCAAGTAAACGCAGGTCTGCAAACGAATGGAGCAGCTGGAGACAGAGAAGAGCTGGAGGATGGATGGAACAGGAGAGGGAGCAGTTGCTACAGAGGGCTTTTTTACAGGGTTAAAGGCAGGATAGGTGCAGCGAGTGGGAACAGGGTACTGACATGCGGTAGATAGCAGGGCAGGAGGAGCTGTTGGGAATGCAGGAATAGAGCTTTGAGGAAATAGATTAGAAGCAGGACTGCGTTTTTGTAAGTTGACTGAGGCTGGGTGCAACAAGTCTGTCCATGTCTGCAGTATGGGTTGAACAAAGCTGAGCTTACACAAAGCCTGTCTGGTCAATGACTGCACTGCGTTTATACAATCTCTTAGTGTCTGTGGTGAACATGTGGAATAACGCTCCAGAAAGTAACCCACATCATCCTCTAATAACCACACCAGGGACTCTACCTGGTCTGCACTAAATGGTGGCAAAAATTCATCCCTGCATTCGGGGGTACCAGATGAAACCAACTCAGCACAAACCTCAATCAAAGGCTGCACCTCAGAGAACTCTGTGCCCTGATCTACTAGAACATGAGCGAGCCGTATACATTCTAGCAGTTCATCCCGGGGATACTCCTTCAGAGTTTGATAAGCATACTCCCTGTCATCAAACACTAGCAGATATAAATACGCAACCTCATCCAGATCCATCCTTCCCATCAACAAGCCAAGATGGCTTCCCTGTGCAGCCACTTCTGGTCAGGATTGGCCTTGGTGTAATGTCAGGGCTCCCGGGTATGACCAGAGGGTGTGTGACTGATGCAGGTAAACGCAGAGTTCAGATATGTTATAAACAATGTAATTTATTAACACTAACCATACAAACATAAACGCAGTGCAATACTAAAACATAACACAGTGCAAACAAACCAAACCAACCACCCACAGATAACAGTACATACAAGCAAGCGTCGTCAGGCAGGCCGGGTCAATATCAATAGGGCAGGTAGGTACAGGGGGAGCAAGCGGAGATTGGTCGGGGTCACAGGCCAGGTTCAGCAGGTAGCGGGCAGCGTAGTACAGAGGGTCAGGCAGAGGGATGGTCAGGGTCACAAGCCAGGGATCAGAACAGGTAGCAAGCAGCGTGGTACAGAGGGTCAGGCAGAGGGATGGTCAGGAGCGAGCCGGGATCAGAGCAGGAGAAGTCAGCAGTGGTTCAGATCAGGCAGGGTCAGCAAAGGAACAGAAACAGGATGCAGGACAGATACAGGGCCCAGGACAAACACAACACCAAGGCAGAGTCTGCAAGTCTGGCCATCCCTTAAATACCCCAGCATAATCAGTTCCAGGTGTTAGCTGGCTGCAAAGTTGAGTCTCTGATTGCTGGGAGCACCCGCTGGCCAGCCCTGGTACTGCAGATCAAAAGGCAGGTGAGTCCCACCATTGCTGGCTAGTCCATTCCTGACAGGAAGCCTCTCCTCACTGCAATACACTTGGAATGTACAAAAAAGCACCTGAAGGATGGTGGTGGCATCATCATACTGTGGGGGTGCTTATCACCAGCAGGGACTGGGTGACTGGTCTGGGTTGAGGGTAAGGTGAATGGAGCAAAGTACAGAGATATCCCCAATGCAAATCTGTTTCACAGTGCTTAGAACCTCAGATCGGGCCAAAGGTTCACCTTTCAACATGGCAACGATCCTAAATACACAGCCAAGACAACACAGGAGTGGCATAGGTACCACTTTGTGAATGTCCTAGAGTGGCCCAGCCAGAGTCCTGACCTGAACCCTGTTAAACTCTCTGGAAAAACCTGAAAATGACTGTCTGTCACGTACCTGATGGGAGACTGAAATGACGAGGTCGGCCTCACTTGTGTCACTGGCCCTGCTGGAGTTGGAACAGAGGGAGTCTAGGACCCAGGGGAACAAGAGTACCAGTAGTTGTTGTTTGCAGCTCTTGCAGATGATGACCTTGGAAGGCTGATGATCCTCTGATTTTGGCACAGTAGTAGTTAGGCATATCAGGTTTTGTAGCTTGCCAGGCGTGCACCAGAGCAAGTCAGGTAGTGAGGACAAGAGACAGAAGCAGTGTCATGGAATAGCCAGGGTCATCAACAATCGGGCAGCATGGTACAGAATCAGAAGGAAAAGCCAAGGTCAGGAGCAGAGCCGAAGTCAGGAACCAGTATCAATCAGGAGAGCAATCAGAGTCAGGTGAGGAACAAGCCGGGTCAGCAACAAAGGAATCACACAGGAACAAGCAGGACACAGGGGAGCTGAAGACCAGTCAGCACTGAACATGAGCAGAGACACTCCTTAAATAGGCCGTCTGGCGACAATCTTCGCCATGCGTGTGTGTGATTGTGCATTTCTGCATGCATGCGCACAACCGGCAATTTTCCTGCGGGAATTCCTATGTGCATGCGCATTTCCGATTGCGATTCGTCTTGCCGGAAATCCCTTACACTGTCCATCGACAGATCCCATCCAACCTGACTAAGCTTGAGAGGATTTGCAAAGAAGAATTGCAAGACATCCCCCAATCCAGGTGTGCAAAGCTTGTGGCGTCATACCCAAAAAGACTCAAGGCTGCAATTGCTGCCAGAGGTGCTTCAACAAAGTACTAAGTAAAGGGCCTGAATACTTAAGTATTGTATCTCTTTTTAATAAATTCATTCATAGACATTTCTAAAATTCCTTTTTCACTTTGTCATTAGGGGGCTACTGAGTGTAGATTAATGAGAAAAAATATGAATTTAAACAATTGTAGTATCAGGCTGCAAGATAACAAAATGTAAAAAGTGAAGGGAGTCTGAATACTTTATGAATGCACTGTACAGTAACTTTTTTAAGATCAGCTACAGCCTGAAGCAACATTGCTTCAGTTTTTGGTACAGAGGGTAAAGGCTAGAACCTCTTCCAGACTTTTAAAGCAGAGTGCCCACAGGGGGGGATCTCCACTTACTTCCTGTCCTGGGGACATCACATCCTAATCACACAGTGTGTCACTGAGACAGGAAGTGAAGAGGCAATCTCCCCAATTGTGACACAAAATGTAGTAAAACATGACTGAAGTTCAAACACTTCCACATTTTACTATTATTATTATACAGGATTTACAGTCAGGCCCATAAATATTGGGACATCGACACAATTCTAACATTTTTGGCTCTATACACACCACCACAATGGATTTGAAATGAAGCGAACAAGATGTGCTTTAACTGCAGACTGTCAGCTTTAATTTGAGGGCATTTACATCCAAATCAGGTGAACGGTGTAGGAATTACAACAGTTTGCATATGTGCCCCCACTTGTTAAGGGACCAAAAGTAATGGGACAGAATAATAATCATAAATCAAACTTTCACTTTTTAATACTTGGTTGCAAATCCTTTGCAGTCAATTACAGCCTGAAGTCTGGAACGCATAGACATCACCAGACGCTGGGTTTCATCCCTGATGATGCTCTGCCAGGCCTCTACTGCAACTGTCTTCAGTTCCTGCTTGTTCTTGGGGCATTTTCCCTTCAGTTTTGTCTTCAGCAAGTGAAATGAATGCTCAATCGGATTCAGGTCAGGTGATTGACTTGGCCATTGCATAACATTCCACTTCTTTCCCTTAAAAAACTCTTTGGTTGCTTTTGCAGTATGCTTTGGGTCATTGTCCATCTGCACTGTGAAGCGTCCAATGAGTTCTGAAGCATTTGGCTGAATATGAGCAGATAATATTGCCCGAAACACTTCAGAATTCATCCTGCTGCTTTTGTCAGCAGTCACATCATCAATAAATACAAGAGAACCAGTTCCATTGGCAGCCATACATGCCCCACGCCATGACACTACCACCACCATGCTTCACTGATGAGGTGGTATGCTTAGGATCATGAGCAGTTCCTTTCCTTCTCCATACTCTTCTCTTCCCATCACTCTGGTACAAGTTGATGTCGGTCTCATCTGTCCAAAGGATGTTGTTCCAGAACTGTGAAGGCTTTTTTAGATGTCGTTTGGCAAACTCTAATCTGGCCTTCCTGTTTTTGAGGCTCACCAATGGTTTACATCTTGTGGTGGACCCTCTGTATTCACTCTGGTGAAGTCTTCTCTTGATTGTTGACTTTGACACACATACACCTACCTCCTGGAGAGTGTTCTTGATCTGGCCAAGTGTTGTGAAGGGTGTTTTCTTCACCAGGGAAAGAATTCTTCAGTCATCCACCACAGTTGTTTTCCATGGTCTTTCGGGTCTTTTGGTGTTGCTGAGCTCACCGGTGCATTCCTTCTTTTTAAGAATGTTCCAAACAGTTGTTTTGGCCATGCCTAATGTTTTTGCTATCTCTCTGATGGGTTTGTTTTTTGTTTTTTTTCAGCCTAATGATGGCTTGCTTCACTGATAGTGACAGCTCTTTGGATCTCATCTTGAGAGTTGAGAGCAACAGATTCCAAATGCAAATAGCACACTTGAAATGAACTCTGGACCTTTTATCTGCTCATTGTAATTGGGATAATGAGGGAAAACACACACCTGGCCATGGAACAGCTGAGAAGCAATTGTCCCATTACTTTTGGTCCCTTAACAAGTGGGAGGCACATATGCAAACTGTTGTAATTCCTACACTGTTCACCGGATTTGGATGTAAATACCCTCAATTAAAGCTGACAGTCTGCAGTTAAAGCACATCTTGTTCATTTCATTCCAAATCCATTTTGGTGGTGTATAGAGCCAAAAATGTTAGAATTGTGTCAATGTCCCAATATTTATGGACCTGACTGTATATAGCGCCAACAGTTAGCACAGCGCTTTACAAAATTAAATAGGCTAATATTTTTTTGTTTTCTTAGATAATTTTTTCTTTACTTGTTGTAGTGTCAGGGACATAGAATGTAAGAGAATAAGAGAAAAGGTTCCTAGTAGGGACATACTGTAGATGAAAGAAAAACACAGAAAGAGGTTCTAACTCTGTTCTATACATATTCTATACAGTAAGACTTGAATCTGTTGTATTAAAGAGAATATATTATACCTTGGTATTGGTGCATGGCATTGTCATTTCCTTGCCCTAATCTTGTTTACCATGACCTGTCTGTATTGCACACAGACCTCAGCAAATGACTATCACTGGCATTTTTCTGCACTGTGCTTTTTGCACCAAAAACAAGTTTGAAAAAGACCCCTAACTTTAATCTAACCCTAATGCTGATCCTAACACTTAGACTTACTTCACTTGATCCCATAAACTCAAAGCTGAAATCTGGGATAAGCAAATATTATCTGAATACAGGAGTCATATGTATTATTCCCTGAATCTTGATGTGCTTTGTGTATTCCTTCCAGATCTGTGCAGTAATCCAGTGTAAAACTTTGCCTTTGTTCTGGGGCTTCCTGTAATAAAGACAAGTCTCCTTGTGCAAGGTGGCTGTTCTTGCATGTTCCCCTTGTATAGTTATCTGCAGGCAGCCTGTAATTGTGGGGCCTGCTGGCCCCTTGCACAGCTTTGCTCTCTGCTATGTACAGCGTTGTGATTATGACACTGTTACTTTCACAGGTGATATCGGGGTTTGCAAAGGCTTTTGGTGCACACAAAGTGTATTTATAACTTATTTAGCTATTGAGGAATATATTAAAATGTGTTTGTTTTTTTTTGCCTGGAGTATAGCTTTAACCTAACCCTTAAAATAAACCTTAACTTTCATCTAACACTTAATTCTGTGTAATAACCCCCAACACTTACTTTCCTATATCCTAACCTTAAGGCTTCATGCACATGGGTGAAAGAGACCATATAGGGTAAAATTGCAGGTGTATTTCCACTTCCAGGAGGAACAGCTGCATCATACAGGTACCCATAATAATGAATGGCTCTATGCTGTGTAAAGTTGTGCAGTAGTATAAATCTCAGAGGTCACAAAGGCCTTGTTCAGGGATCTATGTCCATGTGCATGCATAAGTTTATGCAAGTGTGGTGTATACATGGGTTATTCATTACTGCAGCTGTGTCTTCTGGGCATGGAAATTTGCCCATAATTTACATTGTACAGCCTCATGCACCCATGTTCCATAATCAACAACTAGACTCTAACAATTTGTTTGGACCTTGGAATGCCACTGTTACAGTATAAAATATGAATTTAAAGACTTTTACTGTTGCATTTGTTCATAAAAACTCACTGTTTGCAATCCCTGTTGTGTTTACCGAGATCCCCGTTGACTTGATCAATATCTCTTTACCCACTCATACAAGCATGTAGGGGAGTAATCAATGTCCAAAAATGCATTGCATTGTGGAAGTTACTTAATCCCACCCACATGTGTGTATAACGGGGAGGGTAACCATGATTACTGTCCCCCACATGTGAGACAGAGGGAGTGAGACCAGGATTACAACATGTGTATGACATTGGAAACATGACCACCAATTATTCATCGGACTGATGAGCTTAGCAAGGGACGGGGCATACGGTATCTTTCTGCTATGTATAGCGCTGTTTGTTAAATTACCAATCTGACCGATATGTATATTTTCTAGTCCTTTATATGTTTTCTGTATTTTTGTTTCTCAGGTTCTCATTTAAACAAGAAAAACAAGTACAGTAATTTGTTGATCAGCTGCTGCTTTTGCCTTATGTATTTGTATTATAAAGAGAAATATTTGTCAGTCCAAGCGATTCTGTAAACTGGCTTTACTGTGGACCAGCAGATGTTTTAATGTACGTATATGAGACATGTCTTAATGTAAAATATGCTTAATTGTGTTCGGTGCAATTATGGAAGTGACCTGAAATGTCTACAGAGTGAAATACTGGAATATTTTTATGAATAAACACCATAAACGTAATTGTAGATTGTGAGCAGAATCATGAGCAGTTGACATCCAAGGATTAGTTCGTACATAACCAGAAGTCATTCATCATATTTCTAACAATCTGCCAGTAATAGGATTCTGGTACCGAAGCTGCAAGTTGCAGTCAAAGCTGCCCTGACTTGTCTGTGTCTGGATTATTAACAGTCTTGACAGTAACATTTACACAGACCAATTCATAACATTATGACCACCTGCCATAACCCATCGAGGCATGGAATCCACTAGACCTCTAAAGGTATGCTGTGGAACCAAAGCCGTCAGTAGCAGATCCTTTAAATCTTGTAAATTGGGAGGTGGGGCCTTCTTGCATTGGACTTTTTCCAGCACATCCCACAGACGCTCAATTGGCTTGTGATCTAGAGAATTTGAAACAACGCTTCAAACTAATTTTTATGTTCCTCACACCTTTCTTGAATTCACCACCTTCTTTCATTTCACTTGTGTTCCAGTTCTGATGCTCACGTGCTCATTGTAGGCACTTTTACCTATGGATACGGGTCAGTATGGGCAACCTGACCAGTCCGCTTCTATGCAGCCCTATACAAAACAAATTGTGATGCACTGTGTGTTTTGACACCTATCAGAACCAGAATTAACTTCTTCAGAATTTTGAGCTACAGTAGATTTTCTATTGGACTAGACTTCATGGGCCAGCCTTCGTTCCCCACATGCATCAATGAGCCTTGACCGCCCATGACCCTGTTGCCGGTTCACCTGTTTTCCTTCCTTGAACCACTTTTGGTAGGTCCTAACCACTGCAGACCAGGAACATTGCACAAGAGCTGTAGTTTTGGAGATGCTCTGACCCAGTTGTCTAGCCATGACAATTTGGCCCTCGTCAAAGTCACTCAGGTCCTTATGCTTGCCCACTTTTTTCTGCTTTCAGCACAACAACTTTAGGGACAAAATGTTCACTGGCTGCTTAAAGAGCAACTCCAGGCTCCTGTGCAAAAAAAAAAAAACTGTAGCTGCTGATGTTTAGTAAACAGCCACTCACCTGTCCCACATTCCAGTGCTGTGCTCAACTTGTTCAGCAGTTTTCACCTTCTTTACTCTGTTCCTGGAGTTGGCACCTTAACTATAGCCATCTGGTTAAGACAGCTTGTGGCTTCACAGCCTGGTGCCCACTGCGCAAGCACTAGCTGTTCTGCACATTGTGAACAGTCCCACAGGCGTCTGGGACCTGTCACAAGTTCCAGGAGACAGTGGGGAGGGTGGAGAAATTATGCTTCCGATCACCTAGGTGGTCAGAGTGGAAGTAGAGCAGGTACCCGATTTGGACGGTACCCCTCTAATTAGGGTACCCACTCCCCCAAAAGCTGCATTTCACAAACAGGAGCTTGGGAAGAAGCCTTAAAGAGGAACTTCCCCTTTTGGGTGGAGCTCCGCTTTAACATAGCCCAGCTACATTTTTTTGAACATACTGTAGGTAAGACATTGATTGAGGGCAACTTTGCCCATTTTGAGCTGCATGACAGGATACGTTACTGGAGGTATGTTAAATTTATTGTACTTTTCCTACTTTGGGTACCCAGATCTGCCACTAAGCTGGCAAAGATTCCCTTTCCTACCTTTCGACTTACACACTTCTCCTACCCAAAGATGACAGATTAGGCCTAGTGATTTTTAGCTCATGTACCATTATTCCAGGGAAGCACAGAGAAGGTAAATATAGCCTGATTAATGCCCTTCCTATAAGGTGTGGGCAAAGTATAGGTCCACTTTAAGTATGTAGCTAAAAATACTTCTAGTTGTATAACTGCGCAAGATCTAAAGTCAATAGCCAGTGCACATGGGATCGAGGAATTACATGATCCACAGCGCAAATGATCTGGAGAATTTAAATAGTATTAACAGGCAATTGTGGGTGTCTACATCTCACAATAATGTTGCTTTGTACTTGTAAAGCTTAGAGAATATCAAAATTCAAAAATCCTAATGCAGCCACCACATCAAGCACTGGTAAGCTTACATTTTTGTGCTTGAGTTTAGATACAATTTACTTTTAGGCAAACTGATAAATATGCAAATTAAATACATATATTATATGTTTTATCTTTAAAAACATTTTTAATTCTGTGCAGCTAGTGTTTTGATCCAGTCAGCATGGCCAGGTTCATCGCCTCTAGTTTAGTAAAAGCAAATCTCAAAAACCTTTTTTAGGTAGATTGGCATCTCCAGGACAGGGTGTAAATTATCCAATGGGGACACTACAATAAAAACCTGATGGAGAGTATAACCTTTCATCTATCTGAAATTAAATAAACATAGTAAAGTTGGGCCTTAAAGGAGCACATCTTGAATATGGGCCTGTAAGTACATTCAGTATTTGACATCCTGTCAACTGATTGGGCAGTGAACAAAAAGCAACGCAATTTCTGTATGCTCTCCTTCCTGCAAGCATTTTTACATTGTTAGACTGACAGCAATGTGCAAACAATAGAACCCTGACTGGATCGGGGTGCTACATCTCTCTCCCCAGTCTGCATGGCACTATACAGGGCATTACAAGAAGCTAAATAAAGACACAATTCAGGTACTTATATTTCATGTATTTTAAAATACAGCTATTGTTTTTTGAATGCATCTATAGATAAATTACATGTTTTTTCATCAGACTGGAATAAAGCTTTAGTCCATGTGGCAGATCAGAAAATGTGTTAATCAGATTTTTATTTTGTCTATTGTCAAGCAAAACGATGAATAAAATGCTAATCTGGGATGCTATTTAGGATAGATTTGCTTTTTGGAAGGTATAATGTCAATGAAATGTCTATTTTCCAGAATAATGCATTCCTAAAGTACAGGTCTTTCACTGTACAGTAAATCTACTTGTTTATACTTTTCTTATAAAAATGCCTGAAGTGAATTCTTTACTGCCAATTTTTATCATTTTGTTTTACATTTTGCATGTTAATGTAAAGTGGTTTCTTTGTATTTCCATTATCATGACCTTCCACTTTATTGTGATATAAAGCATAACTCCAGATAAACATAACATGATAAAAATGGTCCAAAAAAAACAGCTTTTACTGCATTATTTGCCTTCTTTCAAAATATTTCCCCTGGAGTACCTTTTTTCTGTCACAGCTGCCCTCAGCCTATTGACCATCATCCATCAACCCAATTCTTCAGAGCCCATGTTGCCCTGGACCTACCTCACCTTATAATTTGACATATTAAAAAAAGTAACACAGTGATGAGCTTATCTCTGTCACTCTCTCTTCCTATTAGCATACTTCTTGTCAACACATGAACTGATTAGGTCACTGTACCGCTCTTTTCTCTCCCACTCCAACTGCTCTACAGAGACTTCAAAGTATTTACAACACTTGCATCTAAAAAATATTTAAAGAGATATTAACCACTTGGCCTCCAGAGGATTTAGCCCCCTTCCTGACAAGGCCATTTTTGCATTACGGCGTTGCGTTATTTTAACTGAGAATTGCGCGGTCATGCAACTTTGCACCTAAATGAAATTTACAACCTTTTTTTCCACAAACAGAGCTTTCTTTTGGTGGTATTTGATCGCCTGTGTGGTATTTATTTTTTGTGCTATAAAAAAAAAAAAAAAAAAAACACAGTTTTGAGAAAAAAACACAAACAATATTTTTGACTTTTTGCTATTAACTGCCTCCCGCCCACCATATAAGGAAATGATGGGCGCAAGGCAGTGCTCTCGTACTAGGACAACGTCATAAGATGCGCATGCGCGCCCCCAGGGACACAGCGAATCATCGATCAGTGGAAAGAGCCAATGACTTCGGGTCTCTGTCATATGATCATCTGTGTCCAATCACAGCTGGTCGCATGTAAATAAGGAAATGCCGGTTATCGGCATTTTCTCTCCTCGCTGACAGCTCATGAGGAGAGGATAGCCGGTAATCACCATTCCTCAGAGGGAACATCTACACTGATCATCAGGGATCAGTGTAGCCCCATCAGTGTCCATCGGTGCACATCAATGCCACATATCAGTGTACATCAATGCCACATATCAGTGCCTACCAGTGTACATCAATGAACTGCCCATCTGAACTGCCTTTCAGTGCCACCTATCAGTGCCAGTCAGTGCTGCCTATCAGTGCCATATATATGAGTACTGCCTTTCAGTGCCCATCAGTGATGCCTGTCAATGCCCATCAGTGCCACCTACCAGTGCAGCCTATTACTGCTCATCACGGCAGCCTCATTAGCGCACATCAGTGAAGGAGAAAAATTACTAATTTACTAACTTTTATAACAGAAACTAAGAAAAAAACTTTTTTTTTCAAAAAGGTTTTTCGTTTGTTTAGCAAAAAAAATATAAAACCCAGTGGTGATTACATAGCACCAAAAAATCAGTGGTGATTACATAGCACCCAGTGGTGATTACATAGCACCAATAATCAGTGGTGATTACATAGCACCTATCGGTCTAAAAAAAAAAAAAATTATAAAAATGTCCTATGGGTACAGTGTTGCATGACCACACAATTGTCAAAGTGCAACAGCGCTGAAAGCTGAAAACTGGCCTGGGCAGGAAGAGGGTGAAAGTGCCCGGTAGGCAAGTGGTTAAACATGTCCAGTAAAAATAATTTAAAAAAAAATCATTTCATCATAAATTTAGGTCTAAATGTATTCTGCTACATGTCTTCGCTTAAAAAAAAAAAAAAATCCCAATATGTGTAAATGTACAGTTGTGTTAAAAATAATAGCAGTCAGACATCACTAACCGGATCAATCACTGTTTTTGGTAGAAATGATATTTCTACATGGCAAATAATTTATTAGCAGGTGTAGTAGAGTAATAGAAATCCAACAGACCCAACAGTCATGACATGCATGCTGCTGATTCTGTGTAATTGAATCACTAATTGAAAGGGGCATGTTCAAAATAATAGCAGTGTGGAGTTCTATTAGTGAGGTCATTCATTCTTTGAAAAACAGGTGGCAATTATTGCCCTTATTTAAGGAAGGAAGGCAGCAAATGTTGTACATGCTGGTTACAGTGCATTTCTCTCTGAAATTCTGAGGAAAATGGGTCGTTCCAGACATTGTAAAGAAGAACAGCGTACCTTGATTAAAAAGTTGATTGGAGAGGGGAAAACATATAAAGAAGTGCAGAAAATGATAGGCTGCTCAGCTAAAATGATCGCAAATGCTTTAAAATGGCAACCAAAACCTGAAAGACGTGGAAGAAAGCGAAAAACTACCATTCGAATGGATAGAATAGCCAAAATGGCAAGGACTCAGCCAACAATCAGCTCCAGGAAGATCAAAGAAGGTCTAAAGTTACCTGTGAGTACTGTTACAATTAGAAGACACCTATGTGAAGCCAAGCTACCGTATTTTTCGCTCCATAAGACGCACCTGAACATAAGACGCACCTAGGTTTTAGAGGCAGAAAACAGGAAAAAAAAATTCTGAACTAATGGACTGCAGACATAGTACAGGAGATGACCAGAGACTGCGGACACAGTACAGGAGATGACCAGAGACTGCGGACAGCACAGGGATGACCAGAGACTGCGGACAGCACAGGGATGACCAGAGACTGTGGACAGTACAGGGGATGACTGCTGACCTTTGGGGAGGGGGGGGGGGGGAGCGGGTACCTGAATTTGACAGGTACCCGCTCTTCTTTGTTCTTTGATCTTACCTGTTCCTCTATCCAGCCGCGCGCTGTCTTCCCGGCTTCTGTAATGGCGCTCGGCATGACAGCCGGGTGCCCAGTGCGCATGAGCGAGAAGCACTTGCGCTTTGTGATTGGTCCGGCGGCTTCTGGGATCTGTCATGTGTCCCAGGTACCGCCTTACCATTCACAAAAAGCACCGCTTCTTGCGCATGCGCACTTGGCACCCGGCTGTCATGCCCAGTGCCCACACTACAGAAGCCGGGAAGACAGCGCGCCGCTGGATAGAGGAACAGGTAAGATCAAAGAACAAAGAAGTAAGAGCGGGTACCTGTCAAATTCAGGTACCTGCTCCCCACCTCCCCAAAGGTCAGCAGTCATCTCCATAAGGTCCCGCTGCAGAGCTGAGCGGGCGGCCCGGTCTTCTGACACGGCGGCGGTGGAAATACCGGACCGGCCGCTCCATAAGACGCACTGACATTTTCCCCCCTTTTTTGGGGGGGAAAAAGTGCATCTTATGGAGCGAAAAATACAGTATCTGCAAGAAGCCCCTGCAAAGTCCCAATGTTGAAAAAAAAAAAAAAAAAGACGTGCTGAAGAGGTTACAATTTGCCAAAGAGCACATTGACTGGCCTAAAGAGAAATGGCGCAACATTTTGTGGACTGATGAAAGTAAGATTGTTCTTTTTGGGTCTAGTGGCCGGAGACAGTTTGTCAGACGACCCCCAAACACTGAATTCAAGCCACAGTACACTGTGAAGACAGTGAAGCATGGTTGCGCAAGCATCATGATATGGGGATGTTTCTCATACTACGATGATGAGCCTATTTATTGCATACCAGGGATCATGGATCAGTTTGAATACATCAGAATACTTGAAGAGGTCATGCTGCCTTATGCTGAAGAGGAAATGCCCTTGAAATGGGTGTTCCAACAAGACAACGACCCCAAACAGCAGTAAATGTGCAATATCTTGGTTCCAGACCAACAAGATTGACATTATGGAGTGGCCAGCCCAATCCCCGGATCTTAATCCAATAGAAAACTTGTGGGGTGACATCAAAAATGCAGTTTCTGAGGCAAAACCAAGAAAGAGAAGAACTGTGGAATGTAGTCCAATCATCCTGGGCTGGAATACCTGTTCACAGGTGCCAGAAGTTGGTTGACTCCATGCAACACAGATGTACAGCAGTTCTCAGAAACAGTGCTTATACAACGAAATATTCATTAAGTGATTCAAAGGAAAGCAAAATCTTCAAACATTTTTCAGTTTATATAGTGAATGTTTGAAGTTTGTAAAGAAGAATACAAACACTGCTATTTTTTTTAAACAGTCTAATATTCACTTTTCTTCATTTTTTTTTTTTTTTAGAGGAACACAAATTTGATATATATTTCTTCATGTTTTGATTTGGAATAGAATGTGTAGTGTTCCCAATGCATTTGTGTGTATGGAAATAAAAGCTATTAGAAGGATTTTGAGCTTTATTCACTTTTTTCAACACACTGCCATTATTTTGAACACAATTTTATGTATACTGGATTTTTTTTTTTTTTTTTTTTTTTTTTTTACAAATATTGGCGACAACATATAGCAGGACTTGCGGCGGGCATTCTGACACTGGGGGACCTGAGAAAAGGAAGGATCCAGGCTGCTCTGTGCAAAACCACTGCAGTATAGACATATTTGTTATTTTTTCTTAAAAAAAATAAACAAGCCTTTAGAATCACTGATTATGGAGCTGCATTATTGATCTTTCTTCAATCTCCAGTCAGGGGTGTCAGAGTCAGAAATGCTAAAATACCTTTTGAACTCTGCCCTTATTTCCTTCTGCCAATTTCCTCCCTTCTGTTCCACTTCACACTTGCATTCATAAAGTTTCACTTTAATTAGTAGAACAGTATATTTAGTTCTATTTGGCAGAACTGTATACATCATATTCAAAAGCACCATTACTGTATACTATACCTATTGCAATTATAGAATAATATAGGAAGTAAAATGAAGTTTAAGTTTTCCCCCTTTTTTAAAAATCATTTATAGATGGAATGTACAAAATAATTATTGAGAAGTTTGAATAGCTGTGGTTTTAGAGGGCATTGTACTAGAAGATTGCTAGCATCAAGAAATCTAAAATTTCTTTGTCAACCATTCAGCACTGACAAATGTATCAAAACATATGCATATTTAGGATCCTGTTTCAGGACAAACAGGAGAAAATAATTTAGTAAAAATATTTAGAATTACACAAAATATGCAACACATTAACTGCTTCAAGTCTGATCATTTTCACCCCTTTCCAGTCCAAGCTAATTTTCAGTGCTGTCACACTTTGAGTCAACTACTGAGTCATGCAACACTGTACCCTTATGAAATTTAGGGCTGCAACTGACTATTACTTTCATAATTGACTAGTTGGTCAATTAATCAGATAAAAAAAAAAGTGTGGTATATAATTTAGTTAATATATAAAGTTTAAAAATAGACAATGTTATTTTTGTATATCTATATGCAGTGGTAAATACAAATAACCAGCTATATGGTTAGGGAAAAATAACAGGAGAGTGTACAGGTGAAACTCGAAAAATTAGAATATCGTGCAAAAGTTCATTTATTTCAGTAATGCAACTTAAAAGGTGAAACAAATATATGAGAGACTCATTACATGCAAAGCAAGATAGTTCAAGCTGTGATTTGTCATCATTGTGATGATTATGGCTTACAGCTCATGAAAACCCCAAATCCACAATCTCAGAAAATTAGAATATTACATGCAATCAATAAAACAAGGATTGTACATAAAACAATATCGGACCTCGGAAAAGTATAAGCATGCATATGTACTCAGTACTTGGTTTGGGCCCCTTTTGCAGCAATTACTGCCTCAACGCGGCGTGGCATGGAAGTTATCAGCCTGTGGTACTGCTGAGGTGTTATGGAAGATCAGGATGCTTCAATAGCGGCCTTCAGCTCTTCTGCATTGTTCGGTCTCATGTCTCTCATCTTTCTCTTGGCAATGCCCCATAGATTTTCTATGGGGGTCAGGTGAGTTTGCTGGCCAATCAAGCACAGTAATCACACGGTCCTTGAACCAGGTTTTGGTGCTTTTGGCAGTGTGGGCAGGTGCCCACAAAGCTAGTCTGCAGAAGGAAGCTCCAAAATCTCTTGGTGGACGGCTGCGTTGACCCTGGACTTAATGAAGCACAGTGGACCAACACCAGCAGATGACATGGCTCCCCAAATCAACACTGTGGAAACTTCACACTGGACTTCAAGCATCTTGCAGTGTGTGCCTCTCCATTCTTCCTCCATACTCTGGGTCCTTTGTTTCCAAATGAGATGCAAAAGTTGCTCTCATCAGAAAAGAGGACTTTGTACCACTGAGCAACAGACCAGGTCTGTTTTTCTTTAGCCCAGGTAAGACGCTTCTGATGTTTGTTGTTGTTCAGGAGCGGCTTGACAAAAGGAATACAACATTTGAAGCCCATGTCCAGGATCCGTCTGTGTGTGTGTGTGTGGTGGCTCTTGATGCACTGACTCCAGCCTCAGTCCACTCCTTGTGAAAGTCCCCAACACTTTTGAATGGCCTTTTCCTGACAATCCTCTCCAGGCTGCGGTCATCCCTGCTGCTTTTGCACCTTTTTCTTCCACACTTTTCCCTTCCACATAACTTTCTATTAATGTGCTTTGATACAGCACTTTGGGAACATCCAACTTCCTTTGCAATTACCTTTTGAGGCTTTCCCTCCTTATGGAGGGTGTCAATGATGGTTTTTTTTTCTGCACAACTGTCAGGTCAGCAGTCTTTCCCATGATTGTGATTCCTACTGAACCAAACTGAGAGACCATTTAAAGGCTCAGCAACCCTTTACAGGTGTTCTGGCTTAATTAGCTGATTAGAGTGGGACACTTTGAGCCGAGAATATTGCACCTTTTCACAATATTCTAATTTTCTGAGATTATGGCTTACAGCTCATGAAAACCCCAAATCCATAATCATAACAATTATTACAAAATAACGGCTTGAACTATCTTGCTTTGCATGTAATGAGTCTATCTCATATATTAGTTTCACCTTTTAAGTTGCATTACTGAAATAAATGAACTTTTGCACAATTTTCTAATTTTTCAAGTTTCACCTGTATATACTATTGGATGTTAAATCTGGTACATATCATCAGATTCAAATTTTCTTTAAAGAAGACCTCCAATAAAACAGAGCACACTTCCTGGTAGCGTCATGATGTCACTGGCTCCGCCCTATGTGTTAAGGCAATCACGTGACTTCCTCTGAGAAGTCCTACTGTGGACAGAGATAACTGCATACACATGAACATTATATTCTGAAATCTCCACTTATAAGATAGTGTGGTACAAAGAGAGTGACCACATGTCTTTAGTCGGTTGGCACATATGGATACCTAGTATTATTGGAGAAGAATGTATATATACACTGATATATTGCACAGAACTTGTTTATTGCACCTAATACATAAGGAATTAATAGGAAAGTTATAATTGCACTTTAAAGGGATGTTTGTATTTAAAGGGGTACACACAAATAGCTTGGTACATGTGGAATAAGAATTTTTTTTTTTTCCATTTAATCTGAGTGATGACACTGAGCACTTTATGAAGAGCAATTAGAGGGTACAGATTGGTCTGTTTATTGCATAGTACTGTGCGGCACGGATCATATTTATTTTTGACTTATTTAACTTGTGGGAACACGTGTGTACAGCAGTACATAAAGTATACATATATTCATGAGTGGAATTATAGGAGTGATTGCACTTGGGTATTATGGGGTTGATTAAAAAAAAAAAAAAAATTATATATCTATCTATATCTCAACCCATAATACCCAAGTGCAATCAATCACTATTATTATACTGGATTTATATAACGCCAACAGTTTACGCAGCTCTTTACAATATAAGTACAATTACAATACATTTCAGTACAGAAGGAATGTGAGGGCCCTGCTCGTGTGTGTATATATATATATATATATATATATATATATATATATATATATATATATATATATATATATATATATATATACACACACACATACACATATACATACACATACATATACATACACATACACATACATATACATACACACACACACACACACACACACATATATATATCTATATACCAAGACCATACAGCGGTTTAACAG